TTCTTTCTAGCATTAGTATAAGTAGATTTCAAGTAAAGGGCACCTCAACCCAACTAATTTTACTTTCCTGTATTGCATATTTGAATACATTGAGTTAGGTTTGAGAAGTTACTATTAAAAGATCTCGTGGAATACGATCCTAGGCATCCCCTAGGATTTTATCAATTTACCATTCATAGTGACACATTAGTTCCACACCAATCTAATTCGATTTGGGAACAAATCCATATCGAAACCGAATAGGGTGTCAACACCCCATAGTGTTAGCACGCTACTAACACTAATTATAAGAGTATTATAGTAACTACTTCTATAACAACTCCTTCCCTCCCCTCTTGGTCACTTGTGTTTGAGTTCTATATGCAAATTTCATTTTTGTATCTAAACTTAATAAATTTCAAAATTTAGTACTTAAAATTAATTTCTTTATATAAGTCCTAAAAATATTGATGGAAAATTATATTTTAGCACCTAAATTTTTTTATTCTTACAAATAGGCTCAAGTTTATGAGGTTTCTAGTATTCTTTAAGAAACTTGTGGTTTGGTTTATAAGGTTCTCGGTAAGCTTACGAAAACATGTGGATGCTTTATGAGGTTTCTAATATGGTTTATGAGATTTTTTGTATGCTTCAAGTAACTTGTTGCGCTTTAATTAACTTATGGTGTGCTTCAATAAACTTGTGGTATGTGTTATGACTTGTGAGGTTTCTGGTCTGCTTCAAATAAGTTGTAGTATGCTTTAAGAAACTTGTAGTATGCTTTAATAACTGTGTGCTTTAGAAACTCGTGATATGCTTACATGTGATATGCTTTATAAGGTTTTTGGTGTGTTTCAGGGAACTTGTGGTCTATTTTAAGAAACGTGTTGTGTGCTTTAATAGGTCTGCTTCACGAAATTTGTGATCTACTTCAGTGAAGTTGTAGTCTGCTTCAATGAACTTGTGATATGTCTTATGACGTTTCCGATATGCTTCAGGGAATGTGTGTTGTACTTTGAAGTTTCTGATATGCTTTATAAATTTTCTGGGGGTGGTAAGGGTCTAGTATAATTTATAAGATTTCCTATCTGCTTTATTGTAATTGCGGGGGTGGATTGTTGCGTTTTCAGTGTGTATTTCTTGGGCCCAACACCATGTCCTCCCTCAACTTTTAACAATGAAATGTACCTCTCTTTATAAATCCACATTAATTGTGATCAACTCTTCGAAAAATGATGTTACCATCATACTAACAAATTGAATATTAGCACCATAACATCTCCCTTTCTTTACCCGCCATGATGACTAGCTTAGGGTTCCACCACGAGAATGAAATAGTTGGGATAACTCTGTCCTCTTCTGCTTCCACTCACTATCCAAAAAGTGAGTCCTCCTCCTCCATGGCCATGGCCGTAAAAGAAACAGAGAGAGGAAATTGTCATGGAGAGAGAGAGATTCAATTGTGGATCCTACGCATCTTCCTAGTCCTCGAGGGCCTTTTCCAACTCAGCACCCACATGCTCTGCCTTTCTTGCCAAATTGCAGAAACAGAGAGATCTCTCTTCCCCTTTAAAATTGTTCTGCATTCATTGTGATTTCATTTTGTGGGTTACACGCCATAGCCCAACTCTCTCTACTTTTCTCTCTTTCGCGAGCTCTAGCTTACTAACTTTTATGCGGGAAAGAACGCCTTTTTCTCCTCTCTCTTTTATGCACAAAAGCCTCACCTTTTTGCCTCGTCAAACAAAGGGGCAGATTTTCACTTCAAAACAAACCAGCACTGTCTAAGCTTAGCTAACCCTTTAAGCTTAAAAGTGTTATTAGTTGCATGCTCATTATGACCATTCCTTCTTGATCACTCCATCGAGTTAGGAATTAGTCTTGATTCGCATTCTACGCATGGACATAGATATTTTCGCCGAATGTTTACTATTCAGTTGTCGAGGCATCAATAAAGTTTCTCTATCACTCTCTGCATTCGATATTCGTCGTATACGTATGTATGTAAACTTGGATTGTTACATCAACGATGCATCTTTTAATTGTCGTAAACCAATCACTTACTTCCATCCATAATTCGAGTTTGTTCATGTCCAAATTAGTGGGTTAATATCGAAGTTGGAGGGCTTTCCTATTTGAGGCAGCTATCTTTAGGTGAAGCATGCAAAAAGCTTAAGTCTCCCCCCCGTCCGTTAAAGTAAAACATGTGTTCTGATAATAATAAGCTTTTTCACCAATCAATCGCTTGCTTGGCCTCAAAGGAACCATAACATGTATGCCCTGATTTATTATATGAACAAAATGTGGTGGGACACATCACACATGTGTTTATTTGTTTGTTATTTGTAAGCATCACTCTTTCCTAGCTAGCTATTCCCCTTAGGTTAAAAGTAAGTAATTAATTAATCCAACCAATTAAACTATAACCAATTTAATCAATCAACTACAATTGATTCTAAAAATTATAGATGAGGCACCTATGCTATATGTTGAATTTCGCGTGCTCTGAATACAATACATCATTGTGAATTGTGAATATTTAAATCATTTTTAAAATTAATAAATAGTATGTAAATGTTACGAATGGATGTTTACAAATGTTTGATGTGGCATTAACAAATGTTACAAATTTTGCATGCATATCCTCTAATTTTTTATTTTCCACTTTCTAAATCCTAAATCATCAAAGTTTATTCTTCCACTTCAAACTCGAGGATGAGAAATGTGTTTTAGAAACTTTTGGAAATATGAAATTATGTTAGGGTCGTTCTAATAATCTAAAAAAAATTCAAATCATACCACCTCATTTACAATTTTGGTTACGTCACTGTTTGTAACTCAGTCTTATTACACTCGCAAAATTGGCCCAACTTTATTTCTTCAGGTTATATGAAATGAATTTTATTGTGTAGATACAATTGATATGTTTTATTTTTCTATGCACTTCTTTTAGATGTGAGTTAAAATGAAAAGGATGTAATTCAATTGAGAAAAAGGGATTAAAAAGGTAAGATAGGATGTACATTAAATTGATTTAACAACTTAGATTTAGTTATGACTTATTAGGTGGTATGCACTCGATCCTGAGCCCTTTCTAGCATCTATTTTTTGTATTTAAATCTTATATCATTCTATAAGTGTGACATAGTACAATGTTTCATAATGAGTTGAGAACCTAGAAAGATAGGGGGTCTCGAAGCCCAAATTTCTTGTTGGTGCCAACTATATGCGGGAGAATCGATGAGTGCGTGGTTACTCATATGGCCATAAAAGTGAATTAAAGCCGAGTACAGGCGATTGATGATGTCTTTTATCTAGGAATGACAATCTAACCCATGATCACGTGTACCAGACCGCCCCCGACACAGGCAACGCAGGAAATTCCCCCATTGTTTTTTATTGTTTTTTTTAATAATCATCTATTATATTTTATCAGTGGTGGTGGACTTCTATCTATTGGCAAACGGTTAGAAATTAGAATTCATCATAGTGAGAAGACGACAATGGGTCAAATTATATTAAAATATAATAACAACGTTAAATATCCCTCATAATCATAGATTAAGGACTAATGATCCGTACTTAGCGATTAATTACCAGATGATCATCACAAAGAATATTCTCTCTGAAATAGATGTGTTGGAATGACAATTGATTACTCCTGTCTACCATCTTGCACCCAAAAACTAAACGTGTCTCAGTCAAGTTCCGCAAAACGACGACGGATCGGCAAATCCGTTTATAAAGCACGACGGTAGTAGTGTGAAGTACCAAACCGATCGGCGAATCCATCGTCAGCTCCTCAGCCACGCTTTCAAAGTTTTGATTTGTGATATTCAAAAACGAAAAATCAAGGGGAAAAAATCAATGTCTTATTTAGGGATAAAAATATTTGTTTTCTCACCCTTTTTTTGGGTTAAAATGTTATGATTACGATTTTAAAAATTATGAAATAAGAAGTGTTTAACAAGAATGTTTGAATGATTACTTGAATTAGTAAGATTGTATGGAAAAATTAATTGATCAATAAATGAGATTGACGAGATCATGTGTACAAGTATAAATGAATATACATAAACAATGGATTGAGTTTTGTGGAAATATAAATATTACGAATGAGTAGTAAAACACTGAAAAAAATAAAAGGGTTAACTGCCTAGATCTTGTTTATTCATAACAAGAATACTATTTTTGTCGAGACTGGATGCTCCGTTAATATGATATAGTTCGTTTGGAACAATATTAACTCGTTTCCAAAATGCATCATACTGATGATGTTAAGTGGACACTTTCCCTATTATTTTTTATGTGACGCTTGAATTGTATCTAAACAAATCCCTTCCTTTGGAAACAACATCTTTCATGTTGTTATTTATTTATTTTTTGTCATATATCAATGTAGCTTGGTACATACATGCAATAAAATTTGTAATCCAAAAGGCACAAGGTACAAACATGTGTTGTTACCTACTCCTTCATTTCGTTCTAGTAGTATCTACGATAAAATTTTCTCATAATTCATCGTGTATTTATTATGTATGCATGATGAAATTTTCACACAACACATTGTATTGATGAAAGTGATGACCATAAATAATCGAACTACTTGTAAAAAAAAAATGTATAAATTACTAGCTAGCTAAGCTAAGGGTTGTTTTCAAAGATGTTGGGGAAGTCCATTTCCGGGGCTTTCCCTTTCAATGCGTTCGGTTTTGTCATTCTTGTTAGAATGTTTTTGGTTCTTCGTTTTCATACCTAACCCCAAAAATCTTTCTTTCACTTTTGTTTCCTTGTGGGGGGATTTTCTAAAATGGATGGACTAGTCACTAGTGCCTGATAATGCTACTAGCAATTGGAGGGTTGTAATGTATTAATAATTAATGATATTGTTGGCATGGATCTCGACAAAAATCGATGAGTACACTTGTATCCTCGAACTTTCAGATTCAGTAAATCGAATAACAACGAGTGTCCGGTATGTGTAAGAGTTATAGACATTAATGATAACATCAGACCAGATACTATTGGGTTGGGGATTAATGGTGTGAGTTCGTTGAATTGTGTGGTACTACTATGCCTTAAATCAGTGACCACATAGCATATAGTGCTTCATTACGCACCATCACTGATCATTCTATACAGTAGGATTTCACTCTCGATCAAATGCGTGTTGCTGCGATAATAAGGAAGTTAATGCCTCCGATGTAGGAGTAAATGACTCCTATACTGCACCTTCTCGAATTGGGCTCTCCGTCCAACTAGCGAAACTAAAAAAGTAAATGACTCCAATGTAGGAGTAATTCAACGAGCTGATTAAAACCAGACTCTCTAAATATCCTAAATTGCAAATAAAATATCCTAAATCACTCAAACGAAGATAATTGTCAAATCGAAATTGCGAATCAATTTAACCGGTCCGAACGATAAAAGAGGAGACCAATCAAAACCGCCCAAAACTGTTTTGAGGAAAAAAGCAAGAAATGGTCAGAGGGGGAGAAAAATAGCGAAAAGGAAAAGGAGTCACTGAGTCAGAGCAAGTCCAAAAGGCGAAAAGAAAAGAGAAAAAACACAGAAGAAGTGAAGAAAGCTACAACTACAATTCCCTGCCAGCGGCCCTGAAACCTCCATTACAGAAACCAAAGGGAAACAAACGAACGAGAGAGAGAAGAGAGAAAAAGGAAAAGAAGCCAAAACTGCTATAAATAGTTGATGATGGGAGGAAGGCGATGGCCACGCCAGAAAAACCCAACCATTAACCCCAAAGGAAACGCCATTATATATATTTTAGCAACAATTAGCAGCTAGCACCACACCCACCCACACTCCATACCTGTCCCAAAATAAAGCTTCTTCTTCTCCCTCCCTCCTTTCATCCCCTTCCCTTAAACAAACATTTGTTTCTATTGTTAGCATCCCTCTTGTGATAATAATTACACAACGGGTAGCCAAAGATTTCATTGTCCCCAGCTGAATATCCTCCCAATCTCCTCCCCTAGCTGGATTCTCTTCTGGGTTCTCCTCATTTTGCCATTTCTGGAGATCCCATCCAGTTTTTCTGAGGTTCTGGGTGGGGGGAAGAAAAGGGTCTTGTTCTGTTTTCCCTTTTCTGTTGAGGGGATTTCACAGCTGAAGTTTGACATTTTGGGTTGTGGAGAACGGGGAAGAAGGTGAAATGGAGAACAAAAGGGCGCTTCTTTCTGCTTTGAGCGTGGGAGTTGGGGTTGGAGTTGGGCTTGGGATAGCATCTGGGCAAAGCATTAGCAGATGGACTGTGGGGAATGGCTCTTCAGATGGTGTCTCACCTGAACAAATTGAGCACGAGTTGATGAGGCAGCTCATTGATGGCAGAGATAGCAAGATCACCTTTGAAGATTTCCCCTATTTTCTAAGGTAAAAAGGAAATGAAAAATTTGTTGTGTCTCATTATTATGTTCTTCCATTCAGATCAAAGCTTTAATCTTTTCATTATGTGGCCCTTGATTACCCTGCCAAGTGTAATTCACAAGGCTGCAGTTTTACTTTTTACCTTTTTACCATGAATTTCTGGAATGATGGGGGAAATGGGTTAACTTTTTGGCAGTGAAAGGACAAGGATTTTGTTGACAAGTGCTGCATATGTGCATCTGAAGGACTTTGATTTCTCAAAGCATACTCGAAACCTTTCACCTGCCAGCAGGACTATCTTGCTCTCTGGACCTTTTGGTATGCAGATTTCTGGTTCATTTTGTTTGTGTTTCTCAAGTTGATGGTGAAATAATCAATCTCATGTGGGATTTGTCTCTTGTTCTGTTATTTCTGGTAGAATTGTATCAGCAAATGCTTGCTAGAGCTTTAGCACATCATTTTGACTCAAAGCTTCTGTTGTTGGATGCTACTGACTTTTCTGTTAAGGTAAAGCAGTTTTTGTTCCTCAAAATCTTCAATTTTATGGCAATTCATGAGGAATATTATTAATAATTTTGTGTTTGGGTTGCTACAGTTACTAAACAAATATGGTTGCACCAAAAAAGAACCGGTAAGCATCTTCTGGGCTATTGGTGATTGATATGGTCAAACATGTTTTAGCTCTTGGAGTATCTGATAAATGGTTTGCTTCTAATTTCTCTGTAGTCGCTAAAGAAGTCTTTATCAGAGCTTGCCTTGGAAGGAATGTCTGGTTTGCTTGGTTCTTTTGCCATGCTTCCTCCAAGAGAGTTCAAACAAGGTACATACTAAGAAGACTCTAGCTTTGACTTTTTTAGTTACGTAGAACTGGTCAAACAACCTTTTCCTTCCTGTCAATAAGGCCTCCTAATTATGCAAGAACATCAGCTGGATTATGTAAACAAGTGATCAATGTGTGTTTGCAGGGCCATTACGTCGACAAGCAAGTTCTTCGGATGTGAAATCATCGAGGTGCCATATTGTCTGCAACAACTCTCCAATGTCAAACAAGTGCTTTTCTGATACCATGTTGATTAGGAAGGGTCAGTTGGTTCTAACGTTGTTTCTTTCTCTACTTTCAGGTGCATGGATGGTAGCAATCCCCCGAAGCTCCGCAGGAATTCATCCATTTCATCTGATATAAGTAGCGTTTCTTCCCAACCTGCAAGTAATCAAGGTTATATATCATGCTTCTCTTCTGAATTATGGTGATGACACCAATCGTTCTGTTGATTCTAGGAATAGCAGTTGTAAAAGGCTTTTACTTTCTCATTAAGAGCATTCAAACTAGTGTATTCTCTCTAAAAGCTTGCTCAGCTGAAACTTCTACCCACGAGCACCTTTTCACTTGAAAAAAATTGTGCTACGGAGAGCTCTCTGTATTGTAGGCTTAGTTCTTAGCTATTGGTAGTTCTGATATACGATAATTGCTTCATACTTATTGGAACTTTTTTGTCTTTCAGCTTCTCTCAGAAGGACGAATGGCTGGTGCTTTGATGAGAAACTCTTCCTGCAATCACTTTACAAGGTAATATCACGCGAATTATGTCCCAGTCCATCATTACTGCATGGAACTTTTCTATACTTTTCTAAATGACACTTGGTGTTTATTTTTAACAGGTGTTGGTCACAGTATCAGAAAGAAGTCCCTTAATCCTATATGTTAGAGATGTGGAGAAGCTCCTTCTTCAATCACAAAGAATGTTCGTCTTGTTCGACAAAATGCTGAAGAAAATCTCGGGTTCAGTCCTGATCCTGGGCTCCCGAACACTGGACCAAGAAGACAGTGCGGAAATTGACGAGAGACTTATGACACTGTTCCAATACTGCATCGACATTAAACCGCCAGAAGATGAAGCCAATCTTGTCAACTGGAAAGCACAGCTGGAAGAAGACATGAAGTTGCTTCAGATACAAGACAACAGAAACCACATTGCTGAGGTGCTTGCAGCAAATGACATCGAATGCGATGATCTGGGCTCAATTTGCCATGCTGACACTGTGGTGCTGAGCAATTACATACAAGAGATAGTTGTATCAGCTATATCATATCATCTGATGAACGATAAGGACCCAGAGTATCGTAATGGGAGGCTTGTTATTTCAGCAAAGAGGTAGATACAATATAGATACTCTTTTATCTCAGTTGCATGATTCTTTCTTTCACCTGAGCTCATTGATTTCTTTCTCTGGTGTAACAGCTTGTCTCAGGGTTTGAACATATTCCAGGAAGGGAAAATTGGTGGGAAAGATATTTTAAAGATGGAGACAAATGCTGAGGGTGGCAAGGTTTGTTTGTATTCCAGATAGCACACTTTATTTAACTGGCTGAGGGTAGTGTTGATGATGGTAGTGATATAAAATTTCATGCTGAATTATTTCATTCTCTCATTTATGTTCTAGAATGGAGAAGTTGGTGCAAAGACCGAGTCTAAAACTGAAACCAGTGCAGCTGAAAACAAGAATGAAGCTGAGAAATCTGCTGCTGCTACAGTGAAGAAAGATGCAGAGAATCCACCTCCGCAAAAAGCACCTGTAATTGAGATGACTATTTTTGATGCTTCTTACAATCTATTCTTCTCACATTCTACAAATTTCTTAGAAATTTATGCATTTGAACAATCCATCATCCAAACATACCCCTCACTTTTGTTTCTTGTTCTTGCACAGGAAGTTCCGGACAATGAGTTTGAAAAACGGATTAGGCCAGAGGTGATCCCTGCAAATGAGATAGGGGTGACATTTGCAGACATTGGTGCACTAGAGGAAATCAAAGAATCTCTTCAGGAGTTGGTCATGCTCCCTCTCAGAAGGCCTGATCTCTTCAATGGAGGCCTCCTCAAGCCCTGCAGAGGCATATTGCTGTTTGGTCCTCCAGGGACTGGGAAGACAATGCTGGCAAAGGCCATTGCAAATGAAGCTGGAGCAAGTTTCATCAATGTTTCGATGTCTACCATAACTTCAAAGTGGTTCGGTGAAGATGAGAAGAATGTACGAGCTCTGTTCACTCTGGCAGCCAAGGTGTCTCCTACTATCATATTTGTGGATGAGGTTGACAGCATGCTCGGGCAGAGGACTAGAGTCGGAGAGCATGAGGCGATGAGGAAGATCAAGAATGAATTCATGTCACATTGGGATGGGCTATTGACAAAGACTGGTGAACGCATTCTGGTCCTTGCTGCTACAAATCGACCCTTTGATCTTGATGAAGCGATCATCAGGAGGTTCGAGCGCAGGTAATGCTGTCTTTCTAGTGACGAATTTATGCAACCTAAGCATTTTCTTTCGCTGTGAATTTTTTCCCCATGTTCATTATTTCCTGGAATTCCTTGTCCTGCAGAATCATGGTTGGTCTACCAAGTGTCGAGAACAGAGAAATGATCTTGAAAACTCTACTGTCGAAAGAAAAGACTGAAGATTTGGACTTCAAGGAGCTTGCAATAATGACGGAAGGGTTTAGTGGAAGTGATCTCAAGGTGGTTAATTACTTTACTTGCTCTGTCCCCATACTGTGGTTTTTAGCCTTCATAGCATGACGAATAAATTTGCTCAATATGGTTTTATCTGTCATGAACAGAACTTGTGTGTCACAGCTGCTTATCGACCAGTCAGAGAACTAATACAGAAGGAGAGATTGAAGGAAAAGGTAACAGCTTTGTCTCACCTATAAGAAATTTTCAGTGGCCGTTTCAAGCTCTAAGTAGTAAACTATGTCTGTTATGTCTCTCACAAAACAGGAGAGAAAGAAGAAAGCAGCAGAGGAAGCAACAACAAGCTCTGAAAATGGTTCTGAATCTGATGCAGCAAAGGAAGAAGATAAAGAGGAACGAGTAATCACGCTTAGAGCCTTGGACATGGAAGACCTGAGGCAGGCAAAGAACCAGGTAAGCAATCCATCAACTTGCTTTAAACAACAAATCAATTGATCCTCAAATCCTTATCTAACAAGGAAAGTCTCTGCAATTTCCCAGGTTGCCGCAAGTTTTGCCTCTGAGGGATCGGTGATGAACGAGCTAAAACAATGGAACGAATTATACGGAGAAGGAGGTTCGAGGAAGAAGCAACAGCTTTCATACTTCCTCTAAAGTCATTGTAGAAAACCCCACCAAGTCCATATATATATTATATATTAAACAACTCTAGGTTTCTTTCTGGGGAAAAAAGATGGTCTGACTGAAAATGTGATTATTTCTTGAGGAAGACGCCAACATTCCAAAGTACCCACACTTCTAGCACTGCTTCTGAATGAATCATTGTGCAATCAGGGACAAGAAGCGACGGCGAGTCAGAATCTCTCAGCGAGCTATCTAGCACAGGCAACTGTGTGCATAATCTTCGTACATCCAAATGATTGCTGGTTACTTGGAGAAGGGGAGAGGGTTATCGGTGCTGTAAAGAAGAGAAACCACCACCACCGCCATTGCCAAGGCTTCTACTAAGTAGAGTGTAGTTATATGTGTTTGTGTGTGGCAGTTAAGAAAATCCAGAGCTTAGTTTGCATTTTTTTTTTTTTGGGAAAGCTGCAATGAAAATGCAGAAACACCTTGTTCATAATGTATGTATCATTCTATAGTGTTTTCTAAGTATTCAGTTTGTTTGATTTATAAATAGAATGAGCTTTTCTCTATTCTTTCTTCAACTATTGTGTTGTTCAGAGGCAGGAATGCAGAATGCTGGTGTTACACTACGATGATATGAATTATTATTACGAGGAAACATTCAGTTCCATCATCTAGCTCTTCTGTGAGAAGAGGTGGAACCATATTCTCATCAACAGAAAATAGAGGAACAGAGATCGTTCCCACAGCCTCTCATCTGGGTTATATGATTATCTTGATGCGCCAAAACCATTAGAGGAACCACTTGTCTAGACTCGCCGAGAATCAAGATGGGATCGCCTCTTAGTGGGTGTCCTCAAGATCAACACAGATGTTGGCCTTTGAAACCAAATAGGATAGGGTTGGCCAGTGTTTTCAGAGAACTGCCATGGAATGTTCAGTGGAGCTTTAGCAAGGAAGGAAGGAGAAGGGAACATGCAGAGGGATCGAAGCAGAGGCAAAGGCCATCGCAATTGGGAGTCCGGGGAAGCCCAACTGGCGGTAGTGGATTCCTCAGGAAAGCGAAGATAGAACTGAGTTAGACATCTGGTGCAGAGAAACAAAGCACCAGGCTGATGTTAATGCTCAAACGTTCAGTGCAGTTACATTTCGCAGTATGCCAATATCGTTCGTGACCCACGCATCAACTGGTTGATTGATAAATTTCGCATCTTCAACTGACAAGAAGGCATTACAGATATGTTTTTTGAAAAGAGAAGTAGCCAAGGGGAGGAGGAGAAGATAACACAAATATATCTCCTAATCCCCCATTTTTATTCATTACAATAAAATCATCCACTGGTTCTTACTTACTAGCAAGGAGAATAAGGATGGAGATGGTGTCACCACCTCCAACATTCATTCTTTCTTTTTCTCCAATGGTTTAAATGGCATCTTTACTGGATACATAAAACTATAATAATATAACCTGCTGTAATAACACAAGCCGCAATAGGCAACTCGAACAAAAAACAAAAAAATGTAGCTTCCTCATCCAGTATAGTAGTAAAAACATCCCCTGCAACGTAGAAACACACCAATTCATTACATCCCATTAACAATACACGTAGTCCCTTCGGGGACATCCAATAACAATACACATTCATATGAAGTTAATTCCACATCTATGAAACAAAGATATGGCTCAAGTACTGATGAACCCTCGCGCTGTCACGAGTCAATTTACAGACTGCATGATGGAGACAAGGTAATTACCTCGGAAGTAGTCGGGTTTGACAAATCCTTCTACTTGCTGTGAGGCTCTTAGGCATTCTTAGCCTGCAGAAACAAAGATTCCAGAATCAATCAGGAAAGAAGTGTATACAGAAAATTCGTCAAAAGAACTCCAGTCTACCTTTATTTAGCAAATTACCCAACTATATATTTTGCATGACCACTCACAAACAGGCACACCATTTGCAGAGCGTTCCCCCCCCCCCCCCCCCCCCCCCCCCCCCCCCCCCCTCAGCAATGATGTTCCTGGGGAAGGTCTTATTGATCCAGGTCTAACACTACACCCTTTCGACACCAATTACTACTTTGAATTACTTCACCTTAGTCATATAACAACGTCTAGCCAAAATCGGCCACACTGACTAATGTTCAAGCAAAAAAAAATCGACTGAGAACTAGTATTTGTTGCATTACAGATTTTTCAAGGCCACCTAATAGTTAATTTTTAAGGTATGTTTCGAATTGAGCATCCAATTCCATTAGGTCTGCCCCTTGAAAGATATTGAAACCATTAGAAGAAGTCATCTAAGACGAAGAATATTCGTACAATAACACATAAAACCAAAGTTTGATCTATATTTCTTATGCCTTGTTTAAGGTAAACAAATATATGGTTGATGTTTGTTCCCAGAATTACACATCCATATATGTTTAGTGAATTATAAGATAGCACAAAAGTGGTGCTTTACCTTATTATCTTTTGGGGTAAAAATGGTTTTAACTGCCTCAAAAACCTCTTGGACCGGCTTTGCAGCATCAATCTGAAAGCCAACCACACAAAATCAATGAGTTAACTTAAAATAATAAAGGTTCAATAAAATTAATATATAAACATTAAACCACATCAGGAAGTGGATATCATTTACCTTCTTAACTTTGCCCTTGGCAGCATAGTACTCAATCACCGGAAGACTAGAATCCAGAAAGACCTTGAACCGCTTCCTGATAGTTTCAATGTTATCATCTTCTCTTCCCTTCATTGTTACAAAATGGAAGGAAATCAGGAGTGTTTGAAAAGGAGAGTAAAGGACTAATAATGTATTAGCCTGTTCAGGAGAAAATGATGTCACGTTAACTCAACCTGGTTCCTACTCAAAAGTCGCCTTTCCATCTCTCCTTCTGGACAATCAAAAAAGAGGACAAATTCTGGCTCGATTTTTGTCTACATAATAACAACATTCCGCTCGTCAAAAGATTATATCAATCTACTTGGATCAGTGAGAAACAGGTTTCTGCAAGAGTCTTACCACAGCTTCAAATGCAGCCCGGTTTTCCTCATTCCTAGGGAAACCATCAATTAGGAATTTGTCATTGTCAATACCCAGTATTGCTTTCTCGAGGAGCTTAATTGTAACCTCTGAAGGCACAATCTTTCCCTCCTTAATCATGTTCTGGATCATGGTTCTGCAAATCAAAAGAAGCAGTCTTAATATTATTGCACCAATTCAAGCATCCGGAATAATAAAAAATAAAGATGTATTTGTAATGGAAGAAGAATCCGAACAAGACAAGGAAACAGCTTTTTTCCAGTGTTAAATGCGAGCAACTTAGACAGTTTCAAGATGCGCAACCACAGTTAACTGTTAGTAGTACATTGAGAATCCAATGAATCCAGTTACCACCAGATCAGTTACAAAACACCACACGAATAGCAACTCGTGGGTACCTAATGTGCAAATCAAGATTTATAAACACCAATTAAACGGAAAACATGGTTTTGGAGGAAAAACACATCCAGCAGGTGACAACTAGCATTAGCTCATCAAATCAGACAACTGGAAGAGAGACTTCCATTTGGAGGGGGGATGTAGAAATGAGATATTCAGCTTCAGCTTCTTAAATAGCGAAATTAGTGCACGATATACATACCCATTCTCAGACCCAGACTTGATTTCTGCCCGAAGAAGATCCCCTGCACTAAGATGTGTATAACCGAAGTGCTCAACAATATTTGCACATTGTGTACCCTTTCCACTGCCCGGGCCACCTTATAAGCCATATGGAAATTCACAGCCCAAATGAGATAGAAATCCAAGGGTTATAAGTATGAAGATTAACGAGGCAAACAAAGAATCAAGCCTAATTACACGTACAGAATATCATTGACCATGTATTTCTTATTCACTCTAAGACAAAGTCTGCATCGAGAACATTACTGACCAACTATTTCTAATGCAATGCAACGGTGCAGATGAGCAGGGAATACAATAACTAGAATATAGATGCAGGTAACATCGAATTCATCATAAGAGGAACGAGGTTAAGCTTTGCATATAATTGTCCACTTGAAGAATCCAAAGAACCGAGTAGAACCATTAAACCTAACTACCTAAGTAAGAACATTAACAGGAAAAAGAAAATATACTCACCCAACACAAAAACAACAGTAGGCTTCTTCTCAGCTAAACTTCCATGGGTGCTCTACAATCAGACAACCGAGATCGATGAGATTCACATAGCATTCGTCAGCATCCACAGGCATTATAAGAGTATGAACGGTGAAAATGGAGAAGGAAAAAAAAAATATTTCGGCATTGCATTTGAGTGTGACTTGTGCATCGCTTGCTGGTAAGAGATCTCCTATTTACAGAAGGTTAAACTTTGAGACTACCGTTATCATTTCTTTGTCATAGAATATAGAAGATTGACGCCGAATGCACTAAGGTAAGAAGCGACTCACGCGACTAAAACCAGAATTAGGGTAAACAACAAGAAGAAAAAGAAAAGAGTCTCACCATGGTCGCAGCTTCAGCAGTAGATCCCATTTGCTGTTAACTAAAGCTGCGGTGATGAATAATGAGCTAGCTGCAAGACAATGAATCAAAGCAATGAAATTCGCATCAAATATCCAATGCAAAAACAGATCACATCGGGGAAGTTGAGATCCGACTGTAAGAAATGCAAGCAGAGATCATGGTTCTGCCAAAGCAGCCCTGATCCCGCAATGAGATGCCAGTGAAGGGAAAAAGGAGAAGACTTTATCCATAGATCTCAAAAGCTGATTGAAAAAAAAAAGGACATAATGGATCCGCTTAAGCCGAGAAGCAAGTGTCATTGCGGGATCTGGAATCTAAATTCAGAGACCCAATTTCAGTGTTTAGCCATTTCAGGGGATGCGGGAGAAGGAACAGGACGCTGGTAACACCGTAACAGTAACAACCCAAATGCAGATCTTGAAATTGCAAGAAGAAGTAGAGTGATGGGTTGGATTGACTTACTGAGAGGATCTGCTCCAGTCCGCGGCAGGAATTGAGAAAAGATGTCTAAGCCGTTTCTTCCCTCTGCTAGCTTTGGTTTGCAGGCGTTTGATTTCGTGGGTGTGTATATATATAGAATCCGAGAGAGGATGGCGGGGGAAGAAGAAAGCACCCGGACGGAAGAATGTGGGAGGACAGCGAGGTAACGTATGCTTGCAGTTGGGGGCCTTCTTCTTTTTGAATTGGGAAGGAATTGAGAATTGAGAATTGAGTTTGAAAAAGGAGGTGTGGGTGAATTTCTTTGGAAGAAAATACGTTTATAAGAAACGATTCCAATTTCAATTTATAAGATGCGTTTTTTAACATAACAACGATAACTAATATCTGAGAAAATCATCGTAAATTTGTAATGTATTAACATTAAATTGAGCGGGATAAAATAAAACCAAAACAGACGATATTTTGATCATGAAAAGTGGCTAGGTTATTACTAGTGATATTAGAGCTTTTTTCCGTTCATCTTAATGATGATGTTGAGCTCGGGTGAGTATAATACTATAATGTAACATTTTAGGCAAATCTCACATTCAGGGGCGCCATGAGGGTGTGCCGAGAGGTCCTCCGACACAGGGACTCCGAATATTAGGGATCTCCACTTAGGCCCATTAGTTAATTTTACAGTATACTGTAGGTTGTATTTACGGTTTACTAGTATATGATTAATTGATTATGAGTTTAATAATCACTTTAATTATACTAATTAACATAAGTGTTATTTACTGGTCAATATTCTCATGTGCATATACATGAGGCACATGTAATGATTTTTTAAGTAGTATTTGGGAGCTGAAAAATCCTATTTGGTTGAAAATTGATGCAAGAAGGCCTTAATGGATTAGTTATGGTAACTAAGGATGGCAATTTCGACCTGACCCGATTTACCCGACCTGTTTGACCTGTTTTGGGGCGGGGCGGGGCGGGCATTGGTACCTCTCATCGACCCGACCTGCACTGACCCGCCCCATTCTCGACCCGTTCTTGCCTAAATTACATAGAATATTAGTTAAATTACTTAAAATTTTCCTCTTATTACATTATATTTTAGCTATAATAAAGTTGTAAATAAGTGAAAACCTCAATTTCTTCAATAATTTAGCTACATTTTATCATATTATGGTTTCTTTCTTGGTCTTTCAATGAAAAGAACGAATATTTCTAATGTTTTTCACATAAATTACATACCCAATGGGTCGACCTGCCCCGACCCGATCCCCGTGATAAATTACCCGACCTGGTCCGACCTGCCATGGGGCGGGTATGAGTATCGAGATACCCGCCCCGGACCTGCCCATTGTCATTCCTAATGGTAACGGCAGAAAACCGACACAAGAAAACTAGAGAGCTAACAGATACTTTTATTTTAAATAATGCTAAAGAGAGCTTACGTTTTAAAAAACGATTCTATGTTCATTTTTATTTTATTATACTAAAAATTAATTTGGACTACATCTCAATTGTAGACCAAGGCCTCCAAGATTCATTTGTCGGTCCTACTCACATCGACAAAAGCACATGAAATTCATTTTTCCTAAAGAACAACCCAATTTTAACTAACAAAACACAGTTTATAATGAAATTAAGAAATTTATGTGAGAATTTTAAATTAAACTTGTTCAAATGGAATAGAAAAAAAAAGAATTTATTGAAAATATACCATACAATATTGAAAATAAAATCCCTCCGAGTAACAAAGTGAACAATACATTGATAAGAAAAAGTGGTAACGTTACAGTCTTAAAAACACTCCCTACAAGTAGGGGTGTTCAAACGGTGTAATTACTGTGATAACTATTTTAACGGTAATATTTGAATAATTTGTTTGGTTAATTTGGATAACGTTTTGGTTTGATTAATTTTTTTTAGCTTGTTTGGTTAAGGTGGTTTGGTTTGGTTATTCATTACATAAATTGCGAATTGATGAATTAACCAGAAATTTTCTCACTTAATGATAATGTGGTGGTATATTGGTTATTCTGGTTAACCAATTAACCAAACCGATTAAACTTTAGTTTGATTAATTTGTTTGTTGTATTATTTTGGACGATTTGGATATGATATTATATTACATGATTAATAATTTTAGACTTATTTAGCTTGGTAATTAGTAATTACCATGATAACCAGTTTAACACTCCTACCAGGCTACCATCTCTCCACCATATGTGGGCCTGGAGATGCACGGCCCGCTCAAACAAGCAACCCAACTAGTCCTAATATGTCTTAAGACAAAGGTCGTTAAGAAAGCCCAACAAAATTCTGGCGGTGGCGGGAACGAAACAGACAATGGCCGCTGATCGGTTCCCAGAAAATGGGATCTGCTCTCCCTTTGCCTTCCTTCGCATCTCCAAGTTGCAGCTCAGAAATGTCGAACCCTGTTGTCCGATACAGGGAACTAGGTTACGAAGAAGCTCTGGCCAAAGTCCACCGCTATCCGATCGTCTGCAGGGAGCTCAGCTCGATCCTCAGGGAAGCTTACCCCAAGCTCCCTAAGAATCTCCAATCCATGATCTTCGACGACACTCTCGCCGCGTTTCGTCTCCTTCCCCAGTAAGTTGCTTCGCCCTTTTCCCTATGAATTGAATTGCTAGAATTGAACCTGAATCGCGCAATCCCTTTATCAATTCATCTTCAATTGTGTGGATTATTGGGGAGTTTTTTGAATTATGAACAAGAGGTTTTAGGGCTTTTTTTTTTTTGGGTGCAATGGAGTGTTTGATTGTTCAGAGAAATTCGTTAAGTGGGAAGTAGCATAAGGTTGCGAATCTGGGAGATCTGGGTTGAATTTCTTTGGGGGGGCTATGATGTTTAAGCTGGTTGAATGTGATGTCAAATGCTTCCATATGCAGGTTTTGGTCATATTCACTTTACAAGTTTTCCAACATGACGTGGGGTGGTTATTTGAAAATCCAGGATGGAGATGCAGAGTGCTGTTTCGGCAGCCCATCTTCTCTGCCAGAGCGCCGAGGCTGCACTCCCCAAGCAGAAGAAGAACTTGGCAGTCTCGGAATTCAGGCATGCCAAGGTTGCTCAGAAGAGGCGATGGAAGGCTCATCACAGGGAAGAAAGTATGTTTATATTGTTGTTCATCTGGAGTTAGGTGATATATTTTGCCTCGCCAGTGTCATTGAAACCTTTACCTTTCCTTGCTTTCCAGCTACTGCAGAGCTGCCACAAGACGTATTAGCCCACGTCTTCAGCTTCCTCGACACGCAGTCTTTAGCTTTGGCGGGGAATGTGTGCTGGTAATGGTTCTTTTTTTTTTCAGTTGGATTGTTCGAGGGAAACCAGTGGCAGCTCTAATGAGTCTTCTGGTTGATTTGTGAAGGTCATGGAATGTTGCTTCTAACAACAACCTCCTCTGGCAAGCTCACTATGCTGAAGTATTTGGTAGTAGCAGCGACTCTATAGGACGAAAAACGAAGAAGAGTACACACTCTATTCAGGAAAATGTAAATGGTGAAGGAACCAGTGTAGATTGGAAAGAGGCATTTAAAAGAGCCTACCGTGGTAATGGCTTATCAGTGCATGCTATGTATCTTAATTTCTATCGTATTTGATTACTTCTGCAGAACTCCAATCTTTTCTTTTCATTTCCTTAATCAGGCAATTGCTCCAAGCGACTAGCATCTAACAGGGGATACTGCAACCGCTGCAAAGCAGTAGTTTGGCTTGATAGTATGAAATGTTGTAGCTGTAATGAAGCCCAAGGAAGATCAAAACAATCACAAATCACACACATTACGTCTGATCAGGTTATAATCTCCCAGGTCTACTGCTGCATCTTCACTTCACTGAAGAAGACACGAGAAACTGTCCGCCGTTGGCTTAAATTTGCATTTGCTTTCTTATTCGTGGAGTTTTCCTCTTTCCGCTAAGCTGTCCGAACCTTTGCCTTTTCAGGTTGTTGCCTATTTATTGCATGGTTGTTCGTCGCTGTTATCTTCCTCGGACAGTGATAGTGACTCGGATGAAGAGATCATGTCCAGCTTATGGTTTTACGCGAAGCACATTACTGGTTGAAATCTGGCTAAGGAGTAGCAGAGTTTCTCATTATGTAGTATTCATTTCACTATCCAAGAAATGCTGAGTGAAGTTGTTCATTTGTTCAGACACTGTCTTCAGGGAGTCCTGAAAGAGCTTAATTACTTTGTAATCTTGAAAAGGATGTAATAGTTCACTTCCAGTTAGATTAAAATCGTCGAGGATCGCCATGCTTAATTACTTTGTAATATTGAAAAAGATGTAATAGTACACTTCCAGTTAGATTAAAATCGTCAAGGATTGACATCCCGGGTTCGTGTAACCTCTCTTCTTCTGGAAGCTGAGTATTTGTCCAACCTCGCGTTGGTGTTAGTACAGCGTTGGTGTTGCGCAGCGACGGTGTAATGAATGGTGTGTGATGCCTCAACAAAGTAGACATGATGCAATATGAATTTTGCCAAAAGTGCATTTTTTAGCCTAAAAGGAGAAATAACAGAACCTTATAAAGAAAGCACTTTACTACAAAGCAAGAATATACTGTCACAAATTCATCAGTACCAATCATCATTCATCTTTCTATTGAATCTCTCTAATGCAAACGCTATCAATTTATTTCTGCACTATAAAACAGAATCTAGAACTCGACATATCTTTAACCGATTACGATACTTCATCTAAATTCTTGGGAGCATCCAGACAATGCAGTGGATATAACAGAACTAAGTCGCTAAAAAATGTGAACCCTGAAAGTACAAATCAATCAAAAGATCCATACTCAGTCATCTCTCTCTAATCCTTCTTCTTGTCCTTCAATGGCCCTTTAGGGATCTTACTCAAAACCTTCTCGTTGAACACTGCATACTGCTTCTTCAGCTCGATCATCGCCTTCTCAGCGAAAGCATCAACCTTGTCGTCGTATTTCTCGTAGAGCACGGGCAGAGTGTGTAGCAACACAAACACTGTTTCATTCATCGAGAAAAGGAAAATGAATCAGCGAATCATTGCCAATGAAAGCTTCTTGCACAGGAGAAGAAAGTGATGAGGTCGGTAAGTTTGCTTACCAATGTAGAACAAGGTCAAGAAGTTGCAGCAACCCCCGATGATGGAGATAAACCACAAGCCAACAATCACCTGGGGCAAGCAATGAAGCCAAAATGAATAGTGTAAAAAACACCACGTATGATCCGAAACTTGTAACCCAAGGAAGCATAACCACTTACAATCAGAAACTTCTTGAGATCCCTGCCGGATGCAATCTCGCGCAGAACAGTGCACCCACGGTTGAACTCGATTCTCAATGCAGAGGCAACTTCGAGGATGCACTTCTCAGGGATCACAACTTCAGGAATTTGTGGCGGCGACCTATGCAAAGAAGAGCAGTTCCAAATCAGCAAAAGAAACAATAAGCAGAGGAAATCAAACAAACTTTAAAGACATATACAAGTAAGCAGCACCACACACTTGTTGATGAAGGAGGAGGCGTTGGACCACAAGAAGAGGACAGCCAGAGCGACTATGGACAAATGGCAAACTAGAGTGATCAGATGATACTCAAGCAATTCGAACAGAACCCAGATCACAGTTGCAACACCGAGCACTGCTCCTGAAATCTTCTTGTTCCTCCAGAGAAGAACATCAGCAGCTGTGTTTAACAACGAAACAAGAGAGTCACCAATTAGGAAGCTAAACAAAGCATTAAATCACACCTTCCCATTCAATTTTCGAGCTCCAGAAAGCACTAATTCTACGTACTATCTAGCAATCGGATAACATTTATTCTCCAAATCACCTGGCAAGCATATGAGATTATCCTTGAAATGAACACGATCCAGAATATTTTTTTTGGCAAAAAAACGCGTTCAGCTAAACGAACTCAGTCAATCCTTCCTTCTCATCCATTACAGATGAAAACCTACAGTGCAATTCCACCTCCTACTACAGATCGATCCCCCGGACGCAATCGGATCAAGATAAGCCCCAAACAAACACTAGGCAAACAAACATAGAGTCAATCGGTTCACAAATCGCCATAGCAAAAGAAACGCCGATCAATCCGATGCAAGAAAACATCACACTACGTGATCGAAACCGACAAACGCAGGATTAGAAAGGAAACGAAAGAGAGAGAGAGAGGAAAGTACGTTTGCCGCCGCCCAAGACCTTGTGGACGGGCTTGTCCCTGCCGAAGAGGCGGTAAATCTTGGATTTGACGGAATCGACCTTGGAAGGCTTGCGGTCGTCGTCGGAATCGGAGGAGGAGGAGGAAGAGGATCCGTCGTGGCCGTGGATCTTCTCGGTGATCTTATCGACCAGGGAATCGTGGTCGCCGACTTGGTCCGCCATGGATCGGAGAGACGAGGAAAGAAAGGATTGGATTACAGAGCGAAAGAGAGAGAGAAAGAAATTGAAAGGGAATTATAGCAGTGGCTGGGAGAGAGACGGAATGTGAGCCGCTGAAATAGTGAGAGCGAGCTAGCAGAAGGAAATCGGTGTGAAAATAATATTGCCCGCCCGAGTCCGAGCCTCGGGTTCGGGGCGGACGGAGGCAACCCGGCCCGGCTGGATTTGGGAATAACGGAAAACGAGACACTTGGCAACGTGAATCAGTATTAATTAATAAATAAATCGTAATAAAATCAACACATTCCACCAAGATTCAGGACTCAGGCCTCCCACATTGTCAATAAATATATTTAATTAAGGGGGGAACTGTGGTGGTCACGTCACAACAAAATGTTGGTCCCTTTTTCTTCACCTGCCCTGATTTAATTTGAAGATGACATTTTATAATCAAGATTTATTAAGTTAATCGCACTTTCGATCGTAATCAGCAAATCAAATATTAAGTATATAATATCGGTTACCTGGGAAATCAGCTTTCCTCCGGCCCAATGAAAACGCTTCCCCAATTGACGAAGTTCCGGACTTCGAGGGGCTCGAGACGTGGGACATCAATTGCCAATTTGGCAAATTCGTATCTTTCCGTTTCGGACTCGCTCGGCCTGATTGCTAACTCCGTCCTTTCCCGACGGGCCACGTCTTTTCCTCTGTTTGCCGTCCGATTAGGGACCATTCGCTTTTGATATGGGCCGGAACAGGGGTCCACGCACAATGCAAAGTCGGCCCATTAGGCTCATGGGCAGGCTCAATCAATACCCATTTAGCTCCTGCGTCCTGTCAATAATGTATCAGTACACCTACTTAGTGCAAAAACGCATCACAAATCACGATTAATCATCTCATCTCACATAATCGCACACAAGTAACCATAGAATGCTGGGTGGTTACCCTAAACTGGAAACATGTCAAGACCATGTATGATGTATTATTAACTAGGGTGGGTGATTATATGCGATCTACACCGGACAAGATTGTACATAATCGAATCGGATTAAAAATATTTCAATTCAGTTTCGATCCTGCATATTGATGGAAACCTGCTTCGTTAGGGTTTCTATATTTATTATTATTATTATTATTACTAATAGGGTAATTCTTATTATGATTACTTGGTTAGTAGTATTTTAGTAGAATTAGGTTTATTATTAGGTTTTCCTATCTTTCCTATAAATATGTAATCTGGATTTCATTATCAATAAAGCAAGAACAATTATTCAGAAAGTATCTCTCACACAAACCCTAATCCTCCATCTTCTAATTTCTCGTTCTCTAGCCCTCTAAGGCTTCGGCCGATTCTTATTCTTTTCTTCTTCCCCAAATTCTCAATCCTCAATTCTATCATCAAATATCTAAATTCCCAATCAACCAACACTATCGATAGAACCCTAGAAATAGGTTTCTATCACATATCATAAAAATAAAGTAAACAAAAATTGAATTTTGATCATACCGAGATGAACCCAAATAAACTAAACATGCTTTTTGTTCCGATTCTGATCATCAATTTTCCTTTGATTTAGATACGATTTTATCTTGATTCGATCCTGTTCTATACCGAATCGGTCTAATGCCCACCCCTACTATTAACCTTGTGGAGAGATCCCAAATCATATAACCAAGAGGAGAGCCATATACCATAGATTCACACACCCCAAAAGATAACGAGTCCTAAGCTGGCAAGCAAGTATTGCTTAACAACGATTCCCACGTATTTAAGACCAAACCAAGGACTCCAGAACAACAAACATGGTTCCAAGCGTCAACTTCGCCGAGAAAAATTTCCCGACAGAAAAGAACAAAAGTCGTCGGAACCAAGTGGACCGCCGGCTATAATAATGGACTGAAGCGATCGGAGTTAAGGACACTTACCAGGCAGGCCTTCTGCTCTTCAGAGAAATGATAATACACAAACAAATTTCAGCTTGAATCTTCTCACTGGTCTCTAGCCTGAGAAGAATGAGAAAGGTAACGTACATATGCAAGCGAATATCCGCCTTCGTTTTCAACCTTGGTTGAGAATCCCACAAACTTTCAACAGAACATGCTCTGGGAATATGCTCGAGCTCCAGACTGGGCCCTATGTGTCGCTTGGCCCAAACCCACTAGTAAATATTAGAATGATGGGCTGTGTTTGCGTTGATAAAGTCCAATGACAATTAGTATGAAGCAAGCCCAGTATACTTTATGTACCCAAAAAAAAAAAAGTCCAGTACACTTTGCCAGGCCACATTGATGGGCCGCCCTTTCATCTGAACTTGGCCTTCTGAAATTGGATCCTAGCCCTGCGGGATGCATCTCCTTTTAATAGGGGCTCGGTAGACGCGGCATATTTTTTTCATCTCGATTTGTTTAGAAGTTCGGGTTTGTTTCTTCTGTAACTCGAATCTTTCCTCTATTTGGAGTGATCTAGTGACATCAACAACAAAAAATTGTTGTATCAAATCTCGTTAATGGACCCAACAACGTTCAAATCAAGTGTTCTTACCGATTTTGAAGAAAAAGTCACCACGATTCTCATATTTTCTACTTCATAACAGATGCAAGAAAACATAATTCATATGACTCGAACACATAACGGTTTAAACATGTAGACCTTAAATGCTATTGAATGGACCTATTTGTTTTTTTTTTTTTAAAGCTACCCTAAAATAACAAGTATCATTAGAGATTCTCTCGAGCAATAATATTAGCTTCCTTTACTTCACAACGAAGACGATAAGCCACCTCAACAATCCTCCAAGACAAAGAAATATTCAAAGCAATAGTCTCAATACAAGAAAATGTCAAACCATAAATCACAATTTCAAGCAGCGAGTTCGGCAAGGAAAGGCAGCTGAGGTTTCAACGAAAAAAACTCCCCATGGATATGCTTCGTTGCTTACTCCATTGGATCGCTCAAACGTGCCTGCCACAATGAAGCGAAAAGTTCAACGGCTAATAGAAAAAACAATTACTTAGGCAGTTGTGATTGGTACGAAGTCGCATTGGAGCAATCTCTATTATTGGTTTAGAGCCGGCCATTGTTGCTCGAGGGAATTTCAAGAAGAATCATGGAATGATTGAAAGAAATAGTATACCAATAATGGGAAAATTTCGATTTATATTTGAGACATTAAAAACTGCCCATAATATTTTATTTTGTTAGGAATGACATGGCAGATCATTTGTAACTTTGACAAAATGTTTCAAGATGTGACTCTAAACTCTTATTAGAAGTAGAACTGCGATAAATCAATTCAAGAGTTAGACGAATTTCTTGAGATACTCGGATCGAATCGAATTGGACATAGTATAATTTGATTCGGTTTTTTATTCTACGAACTATCTAAAATATAAAATGAAAAAGTGGCCCAAAATTGCAACTGGATATGAATCGAATCAGACCAAACATGATTTGCATCTAGTTCTTGTATTCGTCTTCCCTCCAATTTTTCGTTTGGTCCTATTCGAATTTGGTCTGGTTCTTGACCGAATCAACCAATGTTCACGCCCTACACAAAAGGAGGCCCAAAAATTGATTGTTCACAACTATAGTGGTTCATAGCCCCTTAGCCCTTAGGGTATATGCAAATACAAGAAAAGAGTCCACAAAAATAATTCAGCAAAAGTTTGAAACTAAGGGCAGAGCAGCCTTTGCCTAGGGCCACAAAACCGATAACTATATTAATTTCCATAGTCCCATTAATGCCTCGAAACACCTGCTATTTTTACTGTCTTTAATGCATGGCATTCAGATAAGGATTAAGGATGGCCCCATAACAATTAACCTCAAAATTAGGCAAAAGCGCATTCATAGGAATAAAAAAAAAACAGGGATAATCATTTGGGTACGAGATAAAGTGAGAGTGAAAATCAGTTTTGGGCAATGATACCTGAGTTTTTATGAAAGAGCGGTTGAATTTTATAATTTCAGTATTAGTTATTTGTTTTAAAATACGTGATATAATAATTTTGTACAAAATGTCAAAACAGTGAGTTGATCTTTACTCGAGAGAGTGAGTGTGTAAGACAACGATATAAGTTTTCAGTTTTGTTTTTGAACCTCTTTCAACAAGTTGGATCACTCGTACCCAATATAATGGATAACAATCATTCGATAAAGTAGTTGTACTCTCTGCAGTTTAATAAGGGTTTCAACTGTGGTGGCGAAGCCACTAGGAGGGTGTAACCCTTCTCAACTCTCACAATCATGTAAAATTCGTAATAAACTTGAGAAATATAATTGTTGGTAAGCCTTTAGCCCCTCTTGCCGTTTCAAATTCTCTGAGTATAGATTCTTAGCTCCCGTTGTTTATATTTATTTCTTCGTCACTATCAATTGCCCTTAATATTTAGTTTTAGGTTATAATATCATTATACATATATTAAGATAATATTAAAAAGTGCTACAAACATTCTCCTAAACCTAGATTCAACGACAAGCTAGAAATCACTACAATTTATCATATTTTAGCATCTCCTCATTCTCTATACACAACTTTACCTCAATCCCACACTGAAACAAACCCTAATTAGTCAAAGTTAAAAGGACATAATGCTGCCTCTAAATGCGCCCTCTCCCTTTAATGCCTTTCAACCATGGTCCATGAAACCGTACCGAAGACCACATTGGAAACGTCAATGGTAGGGTATTTTATAGTAAAACTGTGGTTTAATCGTAGTTCAACCGTTAGTACCGTTAAATACTGTCTACCGGTTTAGCCTTCAATACTGGTATTTCGTGATTAAACCGCCGATACGTTACGATTTCATGGACCATGCTACCGTCTAGATGACAATTCTTTTGTCAGCCAAGGGAGAGAAAGACAAAAAGGAGTAGGAGATTGGCCCCATTTGCACTATACAAGTCAAACCTATATCCCCAAGCACAAAAGTTTTGTCATCTACTAAAGGAAGTTTGGACCCTGATAAAGCCAAAGCAAAGCTAAGCTAATTGAGCCAAAGGGTGGCAAAACAATGGACATGCGTGCCCCAGGCCAGCTGAAGAACCAATGCCTTTGCTCCTTTGCGAAAAAAGAAGCCCTTAAACTTCTGACTTTTGCCTGTCTTTCGAGAGAGGGAGCCAATTTAAAGTACTTCCTTTCTTTCTTACTTCCAAAAACTCCATAGAGATTCCAATAGCCTTTTGCTTGGAAGTGTAACATGACCTTATACGTTTCCTTTGTTCTTTTTTGGTTGCCTTTGCCTTTTGTTCTATCGTTTGTGTTTCTCTTTTCTTCCCTCTTTTTTGGAACCTTGCTGTCACACCCAAATACCTGATATAAACGCGCTGCTACGGATCGGGAAATAGCCGGAATCGACAAAGCAAGAATACGAAAGCGAGAATCGAAAACACGACACACGATTTACGTGGTTCACTAACACGATGTGTGTTAGCTACGTCCACGGGCGAGAGAGAGCCAATTTCACTATATCGAGGAGATTACAGATTACAGAAGAGTATGAGAAGTATTTATAGTACTTCTCCATATGGGTCTAAACCTAATCCAATCTGGCAAAGGAAACGGTTACAGACCAGGCCCAGAACCCGAACCCAAATAACATTGAGACCCCCGATTACCAGTCGTAGCGGCTGATAGTCCGATTCAAGTCATATCAACAATACCCTTTTCCCCTCGTCCAATCTCACACCCCACCATTACAAGATTGAGGTAGATTGATTTTGCTTTGAGATATTACGATCATGTGATACAACACGCATTCGAGACGGTTAATGATTTTTTCGTACGATCTTTGTTATTATGTATTTGCCTAACGCACTCCTGAGAGAAAATGAACTATTCAAGTATACGGTTCGTTATTAGTGATCACAAATAATGATTATTTTTCTTTCGGAATTGTGAATTGGAATAATAAAACACAAGAACGCGCATCGTGTCGGCACCACGCCTTACCACCTGTCCTGAAGTCGTCAATATAAATGGTTTGATGGATTATCATTGTTCTTCCGTAATCTACATAACAAACCCAAGAGGGAAAAAACGAAACTATCAACGATCATTAAAATCTTGCTAGTGACCAGTGACACGGATTTGACATAATTGTAATGTTGATAATAGAACACTACATTACACATTGTCAGTTTGTCACCACAACTCCTCAACACCTGAGCCATCCCCTTGATGTTGTGTTGGATCAACATTTTTCTTGGGGGGGCCTCTTGTAAACTTGATTGTTAGATAAACATGGGATGCTGAATATAATTATTAAGTGGGAAATAATTGTTTTGACCAAAGGAAATAAATAACTATATGTTTCTCATCAGAACTAAGGAACAAATAGCTTGTCAACTGTTATAGCATCTAAAACATGGGATGTTGTGTGCAAGCAAACAGCAGATAATGTGACGACCTTTTGGACTTTGGTGTGACCTTTGGGATTGTGACCAGAATGTAAAATTTTAACTGAACCAAGGACCCAATTGGAATTAACCCAAACGACCAGGGCAATTGGTGATATTGGCCAATATATGGCTTAGCAGCTCGCTGGCGTAGGGATGACAACGGAGTGGATTGGGGGCGAGTACAAGCTTTCCGGTCCCCGCCTACCAATCTCGGCGTTTTTCCCATCCCCGTCCCCTGCGACTAAACGGGGATAGACTGATTACCGTCATTGTTCGTCGACAGGTCCGGGGCACCCACTATTGAGAGAAAGTTGGGGAGGGCCTTACGGAAAACTGTTGCCGACGACGTACAGAGAACTTAGCTCCTCAGTTGCCCTCGAATACACAGGTCCTCTTGCCGTCCTCGTGCCGCTGAGTTTGGTGAAGAGCAGGGTTGGTGGTGTAGCAACTTTCAGAGCAAAGTCGACGGCCGACGATCGCTATATTAGGGAGAAGGAGGGGATTTTTCGTTTACGGTGGAATTGGTCGATGGGTGATTAGGGATTGCGGCGGAACAGGGATCCATGGTGCTTTCTTCTGCGCGTGTGAAGGGAAGTTTGGCTGGGAGGGTTTTTAGATGGGATAAGTTGCTTGAATGAAAACGACGTCGTATTGGGGACGGGGCAGATACTACGAGATCCATCCCCACCCATTGCCCGCTACTATCGAATTTTGGGCATTACCCGAATCCACCCATTACCCACGACGGACGGTTTTTTTTTACTCTGTCTGGGCGGGCTTCCGATGGGTACCCGGCCGGTCGGGCAGGGTTGCTATCCCTAAGTTGGTGACGTGCGTTTAGGACTAAAAAGATTGAACCACCGTAGTCATTCAAAAACCCTAAACTGTCTAGATCTGTAGCAGAGTAGCAGGCAGACTAGGAAACTTCTTTCATTATGGTCCAACCCAACGACTGGAAATTGGGAAAAATCCAAATGTGAAAATGAAGTGTGAGACTGCCCTCTGCCGTGCTCTGTACTTTCTCTGCAGTACACGGACCAGACCTGAGAAATTTATATTTTTTTTTGTTTCATTTTCGCTACAAGAACAGCAACCTGTCTCTCTGCAAGGAATCAACAAATGATAGACAAGATATATATGACGCCAGAAATTTTGAATCTTTGGTATTCTTGTGCTAATAGCTTAGGCAGAGCCAAGGATTAAGGGTGGCAAATGGTTCAATACGATTACTCTAGAACATACTAATTATGTTTTTTGGTTCGATTTTCGCGAGTATATAAACCGAAAAGTGGCTCGTTTCGTATGTAGTCTTAACCAAAACCTGACTAATTGTTACTGGTTTGACTAAGTTTGAATCCAAAATCGAACCGACTTTAGCAAAAGACACTTAAGTTTAACACCCATTAAACCACGGTTCTCTCGATTCTTCATCTCTTTCTCTCAACCGGTCAAATTAAAATTGGCGACTGCACTAACAAGCATTTAGTGATCGAAGAATCGTATCTCACATTCAATGGGTGCGTTGTTTTACGCTTCGATCAATGAAGGAATAGAGTATCGAGTCAATAGCCTTTGGAGAATCCATCCATGGATATTCAACGAGTCAATATCATAAACGGACTCCTCTTGATGATATTTTTACAAATAACGTGTCTTTTTGATTCGATAATCAAGAGTAAACACGTGGACAATATAGTGGACGTGAACGATCAACAACATCGATATGGACTGATGAACAATGATTGAGAGTGAAAAGTATATTGTTCGATCAAGTTTAATGGAAAAATTTGGTGCCAACTTGTCTGATTAACCAAGTACAAAAATAAGCCAAAGTACAATTCATAAGCATACAAAAAGCTCCAAAACTCCAAACTTAAATCCACCGTTCTCCCTCCCGTTTGATGATCATTCACCCCATCTTTCACTCTCTCTGATACATACAGTCTAGCTTTGCAGAAAAAGCAGAGTGAAAAAGCTTTAAATCGCTAGTCCTCCTCTGGCTTTTCCCCTCCTCTCTTTCTTTCTCTGCCATTGAATCACCATTTTCAATACACAGTTCCAGCAAGGAAGACCCTCAAACGAAGTGCAAAAGCTCTCTTTCTCTTCTTTCCCTCTCCACGTTAGTTCCCTTTCTTCCTTCTTCCCTTCTGGCCTTCCTTCTCCATTTCACATTTTCACTCCACTATATAAGAACCCCTTTCCCCCCTGAAAAAACCCTACAACCAGAAACCAAACCCAACCTCCATTTCCATTCCTCTCTCTCTCTCTCTCTCTCTCTCTCTCTCTCTTGCTCTGTTCCCTTTTCCCGTTCGTTGAAAATGGACGTCCTCCACTTTCTCAGGCTACTGAGACCCACCACCACCCACCTGAAATCGCAAACCCAAGTTGATTGTGTGAATGCGAGGTCGGATAATGGCGAAGCTTATGATGATTCCGACGAAGAAGAAGAGGAAGAAGACTCTTTCTTTGAATTGGAGCTCACTGTTCCTCCTGATTTTGACTACCCAAGGAGCATTAATGGCGACAGATGTAAAAGCCCCATTAAATTGGCCGACAAAGCCGAGCCCAAGTCTCACCATCAGTCCCCTCCTCCTGCTGCCGAGCCTCTGTTTTCAAAGCGGAAGATACTCCCAATCGAACCCGTCTCCTCTCCCAGGCCTCACCAGTCTCCAATTTCTATCCTGAAATCGGGTCCCAAATTTCGGGTCCTCATGTTCAAAAAGTCCAATTCGATGCCTGTTCAGAAAACAGGGGAGAAACAGGGTAAGGGGTTGAATCAGGAGGAGAAGCCCGAAAAAAAGCGGTTTGTCACTGTGAAAGTGAAGCTCGACGAGATGGGTAACAATGGCGGCTCGAAATTGGGGAGGAACAACAGCTTGCGGAAGCAGATCTTGGACGAAGCGTCGTCCGAAGATTCCTCGAGGCGGTTCCCTAAGGAAACCATGCAGAAGTACTTGAAGCTCATCAATCCGCTCTACATCAAGGTCGCTAAGAAGGAAGGCGACAAGATGAAGTTTCCAGGAGAGCTCTCGTCACCGTCGGCGTCGCCGGCTGCGACGGCGCCTGCCAGCTCCCCAAAGAAGGAGAAACAGGGGAGTTTCCCGTCAGGGATCCGAGAGGTCTGCAAGCATCTTAGGAAGAGCAAATCAGCCTCTTCAGGCACCGGGGTTTCACCTCCGGCCACCGTGCAGCGGAGGGATGACTCCCTTCTACTGCAAAATGACGGGATCCAGAGCGCCATTCTTCACTGCAAGAGATCTTTCAACTCTTCTAGAGGTAATAAAGAAACCATCTTTTTTCCTTTCAGATTCGTCCCCTGTTCTTTCTTCATTCTTTCCCTGTTACATAACAAATTTTGATTTCTTGTTACAGATTCGTCTCTGTTATCACGATTCGCAAGCGACCGCTTGATAGACTCGCCCAGAGTTTCCAGCGACGAGTTCTGATCGGGAAATTAGTGAAGACTGTAGGAGGAAAGCGGGAGACTTTGAACTTCCCCTGAAATTGAAAATTTGAAAAAAGACCATACAAAACAGGACAAGAGAAAAACAGGGGACTCTGTTTTTTCCTTGTTTGTTTTCTTTTTTTGGGTTCTTGTTGTAAAGCTAAGCAAAGGAGAGATAGGGAGATGAAACAGGTAGATTAGTTTCGTGGTTTCTAGGGTTGGTTTCTTTTTGGATGCATTGTTGTAGGATGAATCCATCGTCCATCCATGGAAGGAAGGGATGATGATGATGATTGCAGACTGTAGGTGAAATGTAATCAAAATCCAAAACCAAAAGCAGTAGCAGCAGTTGTTTGTCTGTCTATAAAGTAAAAAAAAATGTTGATTGCTAATGTGGGGTAAATTATTATTTACCAATGGCCGTAGAACAGAGCTCGAGTTCGGTCAAGGAGATGAATGAGGTGTTGTTACTGTTGTATCCCCGATAATGACATCATGAGATTATGTGAGTTTTTGAATTTTACCTCGACGCAATCCAACGTTGTTAGCATGTGTTTAACGATGATAACACGGTTTAGGAAAATACTCTAGGAGGAGCAGGGGAGCTACAGGGCAGAGCCTGGTGGGTTCTTTCTTTTTTGTTTCGTCAAAGCTTGGGATGAATGGTGATGAAGAAATTTCTTGCTGGATTGGGCGGGCAAGTCTGTGTTCTGTGTAATTCCTTTGTTCAAATGATATGACTCCAACTCCACCAATGGCTTTTGCTAACGTAATTCAGAATTCAAAGTTTCTGGTGTACTTTTTGTTCTTTTCTTCCACGGCCTAATGGAGTAGCATACCAGTCCACCATTTTGTCTCAAAATAGAAAATAGTGGTATTTTGCTTGTGTCACTCTAACGACTGGTGGTTGGGTAAAAAAGTTTTTTTTTGTTTGGTAAAACACCGAGTGTTCATAATTTCGTACGATGTCTAATATAAAAAACATGGGTAGCTCACATCGAATAGATGTATATCAAAAGAGATTTCATGGTCCTTCTCAGCAAGATGAAAAAGTTTTACCTATCGGCCCTAAGAACTTTTTGCTTACATGGTGATTTTCTTTTTCTAGTAGACTCTGTGGATTCACATTAGCCTTCTTACATAGATCAAGCAAACTTTGCTGAGATCAAAATTGTTGGGTGATGATGAAGTTTATCAAACTAGACTTCATTCAAGTGGAATTCGTGAGATCCAAACATAAATCATTCTTTGTTTAGTATCGTAACATGCAGAAACCAAAATTCTGATAACCACAAAAGGAGTTTCACTTCGTCCAAACAAACCATATCACAATGTGTGATAACATATTTCAAATCGTCATCGTTAGACATATTCCAAATCCGAAGAGAATATAACCATCGTTATATAATCATCGCCTCTCGTGAACAAGAATGACAAACCGCACTATTCAAGACTAACAAACTTCAAAGACAACGAAGTCAACCATCGACGTGGCTTCCACAACCAATGTAAAAAATTACTCCACACCATCCATTGTCACGTTTGCCACACAGCTGACCTTAAACAAAAATGGCTCCTCTTCTTTTTTTTTTTCTTGTGGGAACTCAGAGCCAGCCATAGCCAGCCACCTCCAATTCCACTTCAGTTAGGTAGCCTAACAGTATACTCGAGTTGATTCAAGAGGAAGCCTCGTTCCCTCCTTTCTTCCTCCATCCAAAGAGCCTTTCCCAAAAGCATATCTCTCATATTAACCATGGTGCTACCCATGGGAGCTAACTTTGTCTTCTTTCCCTTTTTTTCTTTCCAAAAGACAAAAAAACAAAAGCAGTATGAAAGTAAGTAAAGCTACCATTTTTCGTCTGCACCATTGATGATGGAAGGCAGACTGGAAAAAACCCATCAAGTCGGTGAAGTAAAGATATCAATACCCATCAAATCTCTCCATCTCTCTTTCCGTTGGTTAATGGAGTTTGAGCTGAGAGGCAGAGAGGCTCTGTTTTCCAATTGCTCTGTTTTTTTTTCTGCAGCTGCCACTGAATATCCGTGGTTTCTAAAGAAAGGTCCTGGTCTTTAAGCATGCCTCTTCGTTGGTCCAATCGCCATAATGATTAATGGCTTCTTTCTTTGCACAGAAAGTCCAAAACGTCGCCGTTGGAGAAGCAAGTGGTGGTGAACTTCGATTCTTGGTAGTGCATTTGTAATCCAATGAACTCTTCCTTTCGTCCATTTGCAACAAAAATGACCACCCAACATGATTCTGAGTGTTGTGTGGTGTTAGTTAGGATGAGGTAGCAAGGTTTTTAGCCATGAATTGTTGGCCTAACCTTACTATCAAATCTTCTAAAAACCAATTTAACCCGAAACTCGATTTTTAAGCCTCAAACAAATGCGTGAATTCGAGATCCAGCTCTGTCGAGCGAGCTAAACCCTATTCCCCATCTGTCTCGCAAGCCTTTTCATTGTAGGGTTAGAGGGCCCACACCTTCTTCATCTCTTCCTCGTAAGTGTATACATGTTGCTATCAATCAGCAATATAGGATGATCACCGAAGAATACCAACAATCGCACTACTCATATATGTAAAGTTATTCAAAACCGAACCACTTAATCTTACTGCGTTCGCTGCCATACCCAGGCCCACGGTCCCCCACCCTTGAAGAAAGTCAGAAACAATAGCGAGCAAGAGCTTTCAATTTGGATGTTGCTCTGCCCTAGAAGTCTCAAAGTCACAGGGATCACAACATTACCATCAATGGAGGTAAAGCCCAGAGATGGAAGCAATCCCTTTCTCTCCTCGAGCTAGCGCACCATCCACATCTTTATCAGATTTGGACTCAACTTTTGCACCATATTCTTTTTTTTACTGTCTTCAGCTATCGCAGTCGTTGATAACAACATATGGCTGAAGTTTTGGCTTGTTACGTTAGTGAATTCTTTATTCATTGTTCATTTCTCCTGAGACATCGCTCTTTGCTCCCCGGGCCACGGGCCTAACTAAGCGACCGTTTGGATTTGGTTAGATTTGCAGACAAGAATGCTCAAAGAAAGGTTCAATGAATCAGTTGCAAGGAGTACCCAAATTGAGTTACACGGTGTATCCCAGTATTGATATTAGAGTCATGGCTAATTGGCTATTAGGAGACTAGTAAGTAGGAATGGCAATTGACCTCGGACTTATGGGTACCAAATTCGTTGCAATACGGTCAAAGCGGGTAAGATCCTTTGTTGGTGGATTTTGGTTCGGGTGGGGGTTTTTCGGTTCTGGTTTGGATTCAGGTTTTCCTGGTCAAAGCGGGTAAGACCCAACCTTACACAACACCACAATGATGTCATTTGTACCTATCATGAAAAAATTGAATAATTTATTATGTTACTAATATTTATTATAATATAAAGATAATTTATGAATGTTATTAATCTATATAGAGATATCTCAGTAGGGAAAGTTTTGATAATACTGCGACGTGTGTGTTTGAAGAAATAATGTATAGTTGAACCCATGGATACCTCTTTGGTTGGGTTGGGTTTGCTCTTCTAAAACGCATTGTGTATTTTACCGGGTCTTATGGGTGCATCCGCTAGGTAGGAAGGGAACAATGACTTCTATTGGTAAGTTAGCGAGGTCGTTTGGACGGATCAACTTAGAAACGAGACAATTTGACTAATTATCTCATTTTATATAAATGAGTTATTTATAACGAGTCAATTTGAACAACCTGCCTCGTCTCCCAGCCCAGACAATTAGATCTAACTCAAAATGGATCCATTCAATATTCTCCAGATCAAATTGTTCCATCTAAATTTCATCGCCTCTCACCTTAAATAACAATTCTCAAATTCCCACAAGGGTACTAAGCACAACCTTTAAATACACATGGTAAGAGTATATTTATGTATATCATTGCCTCATCAGTTACTCATATATAGCTAGATAGAGCAAAGCGATTCAATGAACCAACAAAGAGGGACACAAACACAAATTCAAAAGGCATATATATACAGATGGGGATGAGGAGCCAAATCTCAACATTGGAGAGGATCAAAATATTTCCCCTGTACGTCTTCGTTCTTAATTTTCAATTGGCATACATGCAGTGTAGGCACAAAAGCAAAGAGAGGGTAGTTATTAGGGTAATTGTATTAGAGTATGTGTAGTACGAGTAGTATATGTGTAGTACGAGTAGTATTATGAGTATTGTTATGTAATTGGTAAGAGTTATGTTTCTTATCAGAGTTGTAGAAGTTAGATAATTTTTGTATTAGTGTTAGGGTTATTATAGAAGTCAGTCTTTGTACTCTATATAACCCATATGTGGTTCCAATCAGTGGCGTAGCCAGACTTTGTGTTCATTGGGGTCCTTAAAAATTTACTAATACTAATGGTTGGGTATCTAATGAACTTTGAGTTGATTGGGGTCCTTATGTGAGCTAAGATCGACGAGATTATGGGGTTATAGAACTTGAATAATCGTACACAACCCCATATATCTATATATTTTTGGCCAAGTGGGGTCCTAGGACCCCTCTCCTTAACACTTCCCTCCGCCACTGGTTCCAGTAATAGTACAAAACAGTTTCCACCGTATTCTGATTTACTAACAAACTGGGTTCTTTGATTAATTGATTCTGCTCAAGTGAGTCCATTTCACCATGTAGTTGGAGCTTTCTGTTTCAAGTTCCACAAGAGAGTTACGCTATAGATCCGATTGAGGAAACAGAGCAGAGCAAAAAAAAAGGTGTGCATGGTTTTTGCTAGATGAGTACATTGTACTTGGGACTGCATAATCATCAGGATGATGGGTTGTTCCGACCGTGGGACAGAAGTTCCAAGCTCGTTGGGAAGTTAGCCACGGTTGAGGATTGTTTAATCTTAAGAAACAATATCGTAACTAAGTAAGAAGTAAGCACTAACTAATAATTAATTAGGGCAGGATTTCAGTTGACTTCATTGAGATGTATGAATATTCCCTGTTTGGGGTATGCATATGGTACATTGATGTTTTTTAGCGTATATGATTTATTTGACTTACTACACTGATGAGACTTAAATTAACCTAATAATTTTTCAAGGGAATTAACTTAAACATGTTAATTTCATAATAGAATGTTAATGTCATGTGGAATGCCAATAATGTTAATTTTTCACTGGAGGCGGGCGAGACCCATGTATGGTACTTAATCACTTACTTACACAGTTAAACGCCCACTCAAACGAAAGTCGACTCATGGGCTTGAAGTTTGCACAGGTCCGTCATACCATGTGCTTGAAGACACATGTTAATATTGGGGATTGTGACGACTTGAACACGTGACCGCAAGGACAAACCAGACTCTGTTACCGTGTCATAAACCAGCTGTTCCCAACAACTCGAGTTGTTGGACGAGGCCTATGTATGGTACTTAACCACTTCCTTACAAATATTGATCATTTGAAGAAGAAAAATCAGAGCTTACGATTCAATAATATTTTTCAAGTGGATTTCCATTTTAGAAATTGAGATAGATAGAGAGAAATATATTTATGGTGTGATTTAAATTTCAAAAATAGCATTGTATTTAATATGGGTTTTTAATTTCCCAAGTGTAATTATTACAAAAAATTAATAATTTTTTATAACCCAAATTACCGTTAGTTGTGAAGTTCACAACCCTAAGGATTGTGACAGATTGAGAGGATTCAATTCCGAGAGGAAATTAGTGATGATATAGTAAAAAAGGCAAAGAGGAAATGGGATCACAGACTCACCGTTAAAATAAAGGCAAAATTCATATGTATAATCAAAATTTTGACGTTTTGGGCCAACGGGACGGGCTAGTGGACTAGTTCCAAGTATTGGATCATGATGAATGCAGGCCAGAGGTGTACATAATATGTCGTGGATCCAATCCCTTGGCCCAATACCTAATTCTGCCACGTTTTGGGCAATGCGTCAACAAAGGCTTAGACCGCGTTCAATATCCCGTTTTTAAATCACTGTCCCAACAAGCTATCATGTGTATCCTTCAAGGGTTTAAATGTGGACATTAGTCGTTTTGATTGGCCGCTCGTGAGTGTGAATTTATATTATCCTCATATTCTTGGGTTGCACAAATTGGTCACTATAGTGTCTGCTATTATCCGTGTTTGGGAGTGTACTAGTAATAAATTGATTATGTCATGTAACCATGGTGTTTTGATGGATGACCAGGTTTCTTGCTCACTCCCTAGAGTAACCCGGAAGGAAAGTATGGCTCACGTTGTCAAGAACCAGATTGTGCAATTTGAATTTGAAGACGTTCAATCCTACCACTTCCGTGCTTCACACACTCTTCTTGGTAGGATGTTTGCGAATAGGAGACCATCTATGACTGGGATCCATGAAGCAGTCAATCTAGCATGGCAAAGTCAGAGGATGATTTGTGTTGCTGAGGGAGTAGGGACGACAAGGGTTTCTGGATTTCTCTCTTCCTAGTGAAGCCTATAAGAATTGGGTGTTGCTGAGGACTCCCTGGATTATCAAGGATAAGATCCTTCACTTGAGGAGCTGGACTCCAAACGTCACTCCTCGTACTTATGAAGAAATGGCGCTCGCTCCTTTCGCTATTCAAATCTAGGATGTGAAAGAAGATTGATGTACCCCAAAGTTTGGATGGACAATGGTCCATTCGGCCATTGGAAGAGTCATTGAAATAAGTGTTTATGTCTACCATGCTGCAAAATAAAATTTCATCAAGGTAAAAGCTCTCATCGATTTCACCAAACCACTCCGCTCTCATATCATGGCCCTGAGTGAGGAAACTGATTGTTTTTGGGTCAGCTTGAAGTATGAGTTCCTACCCAGCTTCTGCTTCAAATGTGGTTGTGTGGGACATTGCTTTCAGAAATGTGTTTTTGATCCACCACAAGGAAAAGAGAGGTTTGGACCACATATGTCTACCAAAGTGCTTGGACAAAAGCTCTATGGAGAAGAGGATGACAATCGATCATTCTATGGTGCCTCTAGGTCAGTATGGGTCAATCCGGAGGCTGCTGGAATGAGGAATGTATAACAGAGTAGTAAGCACCAGAAGCAGAAAGAGGTGGTTGAGACGATACCTCGACCATGAGATCGATGCAAATAGGGGACCCCTATACCAGGCAAAGCGCAAGAAGGACATGAAGAGCGAAGGAAGAAGCCCTCGTGGTTTCACGGTAACTAAACCATCAAATCTCCAGATTGGACAGAGCAAGGATTCTAGACTGGCTAGGAAATTTCCTATGATGGAGGAGCACCAGAATGCTTCCGGAAATGGTCGTGGCCAGGACCGGAACCTGTATTAGAGTAAGAGTGCTACCCCTAGTGAAATGGTTCTGCATAGGAAAGAAGAAAAGGTCCAGGTGGTTCAGATACCCAGGGAGTCCAAGGTGCAAGACCGAGGTCAACGTACCCTCAATTCGTAGGGAAAAAGAATGGGTGGCAGCTCATCGGGCATGTAAGTCCAGGGTCAGTGGTCTTAGCAAGAGGAATAGTTTTCGAGAATATTCTTAACCCTCTTGTGGTGGAGACTATTGTCCTCCATGAAGCTATTCAGTGGTGTCAGGATCTAGGCATTGCTCAAGTTCGGTTTGAGGGTGATGCAAAGGTGCTCATTTATAAAATTAATGCCAAAGATGCACAAGACAGATGTGTTGGAGCTATTGTTCAGGAGATTCTGTGTATGATGGCTCAGAATAGTGGTTTTCATATTCGATTTGTGGGTCGGATTAACAATAGAGTTGCCCATTCAGTGGCTAGAAAGACTCTTTCTTTGCCTCCGGCTTCGTGTCCATTGTATAATTTTCGTTCCTGGTTTGATTCCAGGGTGTAATCCATAGTTTTTTATCAATCAATATGATAATCTTTTGTTAAAAAAAAAAATTGCATCAACACACGAAAATCAACAACCACATTCATACCAACAACTCATTCAAAGCTCTACTTCTCATTTTCTATTCAAGGTTTTCCCGAATCGCGAACTCGTTGGCACGTTAACGAGTCAACCAACCTCACTAACCCGACACGAGAGGACCCACTATCGTTACGCAGGGCATCCTCCGCCGCATTCTTCATTTCGACCATCCTTCGCCTCACTAGCTCCCCGGGTCCTTCTATCTCCATAAGCTCCTTGACACGTCGCTCCACCTCCGCCGCCTCCACGAACCCGCTCCCGTCATTGCGCTCCACCATCGACAACGCAATCCGAATCTCCTCCACCAGCAGAACCCGATTGAACTTCTGCTCCGCGTAGAGCGGCCACGCCACCATCGGCACCCCGGCCCGAACCGCTTCCAGCACCGAGTTCCACCCGCAGTGGGTCACGAACCCGCCCACCGACTCGTGACCCAGAACCTCCACCTGCGGGGCCCACGACTTCACCACGTGCCCCCTCCCTTCCGTCCTCTCGAGAAACCCATCCGGAAGCAGACCCTCCAACGACAGTTCCGGATCCTTCAGCAAAACGTCGGAGTTTCCTAGCTTGTCTTCCCCCGACGGTGGGTCCCGCACCACCCAAAGAAACCGCTGCCCGCTCCTCTCCAGACCAATTGCAATCTCTCTCAGCTGCTCCCTCGAGAAAACCCCCAAACTGCCGAAGCTGAGGAAAACGACGCTCTGCTTCGGCTGCGAATCGAGCCAGGCAAGACAATCAGCGTCGGATCCGGCGCCGCCGCCTTCCTTCCTCGCTCCGCCGTCGCCGATTAGTGGCCCGATGCAGTACAGCGGCGAAGTGGGGAGTTCGGGAACGCACAAACCGGCTGAAATTGCTCTCACTGCTTCGCTCTCCAGCGCGTCGAATGTGTTGACAATGAACCCGGCGAATTCGGGCCAGCGCATGGTGAATTCGAGGAAGCACCGATAAACGTCGTCGTTTCGGTCGAGGAGAATCTTCGGCACCTCGGACGCCGGCAGCTTCGGAGCTCCGGGAATCTCGAGGATCGTTGTACGGCCGAGGTCTCCGAAGCTCTCGGTGTGAGCTCCGTGGAGGGTGGGGAAGTGGAGGAAGAATGCGAGGCAGGAGGCGCCGGAGGTGAAGAAGTTGTAGCAGGGGATTTCGAGCTCGGCGGCGACGGAGAGCGCGGCGGTGTTGAAGAAATCGACGATTAGGGCGTGGACGGCGGCGGATTGGGAGACGATCTGTTGGAGTTTGCGGCGGAGGTGGGGGAGGGTGAGGCGGAGGGTCTCGATCATGAGCATCTCGTGGTGCGGTGAATTGGGGAAGACGGCGGTGGCCGGAGGAGGAGGGAGGCGGTGGAAGGCGATGGAGGGAGTGGAGGCGGAGACGGCGGCGATGTACGGCGCGGTGGCGTCGGCTTGGTACGGCGCCGGAGGGAGGACGATGTGGATGGAGAGGGATGGGCGGTGGGTTAGAATAAGGCGGCCCAGCTCCACCATGGATATCAGGTGGCCTATTGCCGGCGACGGGTAGAGGACGATTGCTTCTTCTGCGTCCATGTTGAAGAATTATGGGGGGGCTTCTTTTTTGTTTTCGGTGGTTTCTCCGCTTTTATTTTGTTTCAATTGTTAGTGAAGAAGAGGAGTTCGTGTGGACAAAGAGAAAACGCCATGGGAGAGTTTATGGCGGGCCGGGAAGCTGGTTAGATTGGTAAAATAATATCTCCGCGCGCGATTGCTCTGTTTCTCGTCTTTCTTTGCGTGTCGTTTTTCAATCATAGTGGTCTCCTAATCATCTTCCCTATCACAATGTCACTATTAAGAAAAAATTAATGCTAAATTTATATGAGAATTATGTGATTAAGGCAGGGCGGCATGAAGATACTTTGAATGTGTACCAATTGGAAACTTAGGATTGTTTGAAAGTTGCGATTGTTAAATAGATGTATTGTTGAGAATGCATATATAATATTATACATGTATTGTCGAATTTGATGCATTATAGACTACAACGTTTGGTATGTGTGATTGTGTATGTCGCATCAGCTAAAAGCTGAGACAAAACAATATCAACTCAACTATCTCAACAATCACAACTAAAAGTTGAGATATAACAATCACTCAAAATGAGTGATAGTTTCTGTCACACCACAGAAACAATCCATGTATTGTTTATGCTAAAAAAACAAAAAACGATGCATTGTAAACAATACATGCATAATGACAATCTCAACAAAACTATCGCAACTTCCAAACGACTCCTTAATTATTAACAGTATGGAGCCTAAAGATGATGATAATATATAGATGCAGAGTATCATACTTTGGTCTGATAAGTTAGGTCCAAAATTCCAAATAAAAATAAGTTTTATCCTATTTTTGAAATAAATGGAGAAATTGAGACCATAATTTGGTTTGACCATCAATATTAATTGTCAAACAATTATTTCGTTCGTGACTAGGCATTTTATGCTGATGTGGTTGTGACATGGCTTCCACCAAGAGTATTTTTGGTATATAAAAAAAGTATGTGGATCATATTTTAATCTCACAATGTACAGGAAGGATAATTCAAAAAATAAAGAGTTTAAATTTAATTTACTCACCACTTCACTCTTTCACATGTGCACCCCCTTGTTAAACAAGATTATGATAGTTATTTATTGCTTATTAAATGTTTTATAGATTGTATGTTTTGAATTCGTTCTTAGACTGGTTGTAGTATTGTTGATTTCATGATTTATTAATTTCGTTTAGTGTCATAATTGAATACCCACACATTGAAATCTTGGTATAGTAATAATTTATATAGAGGGAGCGTATTACACACGGGAACCCGAAAACCGCGAGATATAGGGATGAAGTTGCAAATTCTCAACCTGCATGAGTATATGCGAGTATGAATTTCTGTATTTCGAAATGTGAATGTGGATGTTTTAGTCTAACTCAATCATAAAAAGGTAATGTGAACCTCTTAACTAAGGACCCTATAGCATATCTCCACTTTTAAGCGCGATTCGTGTACACCGCGAAGCTGCAACACAACTCGTCCCGTTAGTTGGCGCGGATCGGTGACCTGAAAGGCAAATTTGGATGCAGATCGACACGAATCATTGACGTATAAGGTGAATAATCCTTGATCGCATTTGAGATTAACGATTGTCCTTGATCGCTTGTGACTTAAACTATCCTTCTCTCACCTATATATAACTCCCTCCCAACTCGTCATCCATTCACTCTACCATAATATTCTTTCTTCCTCTCTTCCACCACTCAAACAATTATTAGTGTGCTATGTGGTTACGGGCTAAGCCTGATCTTTCACACCCAATCACTCTAAAAACCCTATTGAACCTCTCTGCCAGCTTCCACAAAAAATAAAAGAGTCTCTCAGCCTACCTACTTATTTTTCATTTCTATGATTTATTATTCAAGAAATTTGTCATATGTCTGTTTTTATTTTTTGTGATTTATTAGCGTCAGTTATTTGACCAGCCTACCCACCCATATCTAACCCTATCATTGTGGGGAAATTTGATCGCTTCCGTTAAAAGTGGTTAAGATTGATCGCTTGTCAACACGATGATTATTGTTTGCTTTACAATCACGCGGTGATTATTTTACATTCCATCGATTTATTTATGTGAATTTGTTGATTGTTGTACCAATCGGCGATTCACTGTTAATGACTGATCCTAACAGTGATAATATTTGCCCACGTGATTGGTTGCTTTACTCGCCATCGATTTTGTTGTAGATCGATTCCGACCTAAACGATCAATGAAAAACATGTGTACATTGAAATTGAAAATTATATAAGAACTACTGTATTTTGAAATTTCTTTTATGAACTAGTGTAGTTTGGAAATCTATTGCAATGTCGGAGGTTTCAACTTTCAAGTGACTTAAAGTGGGTAGGGTTTGGCACATGAAGGTCGTGTGTTCTTTCTAAGACCCAACTTCCATTTCTCTCTCTCTAGTTCAAAAAAATCTCTACCTTCTTTCTAACTTTCCCCTTTTCCATTCTTCTGCAGGGGGCCGCCGGCTTCACCTATGGGTGACCGGCGGCAACCCTTTGCCCCCTTTTACTGTTCTTCTTCATGTTGTTTCCTCTTCCAACCCCTTAGTGGGTTTCTCCAGTTTCATTTCTGCTTCTATCCTAAGTGGATTTTGCCATGAACCTCTCTTTTGAGATGGTTCCTCTTCCACACTTCAGATCTGGTCAGATCTTGAGGTCTTCCAGTGTTCAGAGGGAATTGCTTTTGCGGTTTTCAACTTTCTTTTTGACTTTTGGAGCTTTCCTCCTTGCTTCACTCATTATGTCGTAGTTATTCGGTGGATTTGACTTGATTCCTGTGTTTCTACTGTCAATTGGTTGGTTGTAGGGATGTTGGCTTTCTTTGAGGACTTGCTGCCCTACGGATCGTCTGGTGGTTGTCTGGTTTTGGTGGTGTTGGCATTCGGCGGTGGTTGTTTGTGGGTGGAGTGTTTTGCTTTGTGGTGGTGCAGGTATGGTGGTTTTGTTCTATTTGGGAGGTGATGGCCTTTGTGGCTCGCTGGTGGCTCTTCTTTCTATCGCATGGTGTTCCTGTTGCGTGGTTGGTGAAAGTTTTAGGTGGGCTTTGGTTTGTCGACGGTGGTGTTTTTTGTTGTGGGTGTTTTTGTTTTGTTGTGTTGGGGGTGATTGGCAGTGGTGATGTGGATGGCGGCGAGATGGTGTAGGTGATGGTTGGCGTCTTGCTAGGCGGCAACTGGTTGGTGGTGTGAAGACGTTGGGTTCTTGGGCTAGGGTTTTTTTTTTGTTTTGTTTGGTGTGTGCTTGGGTTTTCTCTTTTGTTATGTTTTCTATTTTCTCTGTTCCGTGTTTGGGCTCCCTTGTATTCTTAGAAACAGTCTTCTATCCTTCCTGAACTTTGGTCCAAACTCTGTAACAGTTTCCTATTTCATAATGAAATCAGGATTTCGTAAAAAAAAAAAAAAAAACTTCCAAGTGACTTTCTTGTCAACATAGACTCTCCTGGTGGAAGGCCCATTTTCTTCTATCCTCACCTCAATGAAGGGCCAATGGTCCATTATTTCCTGGGCTACTGGCCTCGGGTTTAGGTATTGGGCCTATCACTATGCTGGCTACACTACACCACCTATCTGTCGGCCTATGCTTTTCAACATGAATGTCACATTGACCACTAGTACCAATCAGTGCAATGAAACCGTACCGTATCGGCGGTTAAACTACGAAATACCAGTTTTGAGGCTAAACTTATAGGCTGTATTTACTGGTATAACGGTTGAACTACGGTTAAATCACGATTTTACCATAAAATACCCTACCGCTGACTTTCCCGGTACGGTTTCATGGACCATGGTACCAATGCAACGATGCAAAAACTAAATCCCTAATCAATCCAATTAATTTGATAGTTATTCCATAGCTTCATCACAAAATATCAAAACCTCCTTGATTTGATTTCTCATCCAAATCCTACATACATCAAATACTCCATTGAATTGAACAACCAAAATAGACTAGTAAAACAAGTTGGTACCCGTCCAAGGCCTACTCCATCGTTTTCTGCACAACGATCTGAGATGAGAACTCATTATCTTCTCCACGAATCAACGAGTCTCAATAACCCGACCCGAGAAGACCCACCGTCGCTTAGTGCATCCTCCGCCGCTTTCTTCATTTCGTCCATCCTCCGCCTCACCAGCTCTCCCGATCCTTCGGTTTCCATAAGCTCCTTGACCCGCCTCTCCACCTCCGCCGCATCCACGAACCCGCTACCGTCGTCGCGCTCCACCATCGGCAGCGCGATCCGAATCTCCTCCGTCAGCAGAACCCGGTTGAATTTCTGCTCCGCGTAGAGGGGCCACGCCACCATCGGCACCCCGGCTCGAACCGCTTCCAGCACCGAGTTCCACCCGCAGTGGGTCACGAACCCGCCCACCGACTCGTGACCCAGAACCTCCACCTGCGGCGCCCACGACTTCACCACGTGTCCTCTCTCTTTCGTCCGCTCCAGAAACCCATTGGGAAGCAGACCCTCCAACGACAAGTCCGGATCCTTCACCGAAACGTCGGCGTTTCGCTTATCCCCCGAAGGTGGGTCCCGCACCACCCACAGAAACCGCTGCCCGCTTCTCTCCAAGCCAATAGCAATCTCTTTCAATTGCTCCCGAGAAAAAATCCCCAAACTGCCGAAGCAGAGGAAAACGACGCTCCGTTTCGGCTGAGAATCGAGCCAGGCAAGACAATCGGCGCCGGATCCTTCCTTCCTCGCTCCGCCGTCGCCGATCAGCGGCCCGATGCAGTACAGCGGCGGAGTTGGGCGGTCGGGAAGGCACAGCCCGGCGGAAATCGCGTTCACCGCCTCACCCTCCAGCGCGTCGAACGTGTTGACTATCAGCCCCGCGGATTCCGGCACCCGCGCGGTGAAATCGAGGAAGTACCGGTAAACGTCGTCGTCTCGATCGAGGAGAATCTTCGGGACCTCGGATGCGGGCAGCTTCGGAGCTCCGGGAACCTCGAGGACCGTGCGGCCGAGTTCTCGAAAGCTTTTGGGTTGAGTTTTTTGGATGGCCGGGAGGTGGAGGCAGAACGCGAGGCAGGCGGCGCCGGATGTGGAGAAGTGGTATCCGGGGATTCTGAGCTCGACGGCGACTGAGAGCGCGGCGGTGCTGAAGAAGTCGAGGATTAGCGCGTGGACGGCGGCGGATTGGGAGATTATTTGTTCGAGTGTGCGGCGGAGGTGAGGGAGGCTGAGGCGGAGGGTTTCGAGTACGAGGATCTCGTGGTGTGGGGATTCGGGGAAGACGGCGGTGGCCGGAGGAGGAGGGAGGCGGTGGAAGGTGATGGAGGGAGTGGAGGCGGAGACGGCGGCGATGTAAGGGGCGGTGGCGTCGGCTTGGTAGGGTGCTGGAGGTAGGACGATGTGGATGGAGAAGGAAGGACGGTGGGTTAGGATTAAGCGGCCAAGCTCCACCATGGATATCAAGTGGCCTATCGCCGGCGATGGGTAAAGTACTATGGCTTCTTCTGCTGCTGCCATGTTTGTGGGATTGATTGAGCTTTTTCTTTCTTTCTTTCTGGAGCAGAGAAGTTTGTGGAGGCACTTAGGCAGAGGGAAAAGTTTGGTCGCAGGAAAACAACAAAATGGACCAACTTTGTGGCTGGCGGGAAAATTATTGAAGTATAATATTCCATATCAAGCCAGCAGATGGGTGTGTAAAGGGTTGGTCCGTATTTAATCATATCAAATCGACAATTAGACACGATTACCGATATAAGATGGTTTGGTCCGGTATTTGGTCCTATAAATTTTTATAAATACAAAAAGAAAAGTGACCCGACCATTTGGACCGGACTAGATCAGACCAAAACGGACGAACTACACTGTTGATTCAATCCTTCATTCTAATAAGTCTTTCACTATTGAATGACGATTCTCCAAAAACGAAAGGGTTGTGAAACGAAAGGGTGGTGTAATGGTGTTCTGCTTCTGCACGCTAATAAACAAAATCGTGGTGGTTTGGAGGGTCCATGTAGTTCTTGTAGTTTAAGCAAAATTGCATCTTTGAAAATGCAAATTTCTTTCTTTAATCGTCTTTCTTGGGTGTCTGTCTGACTTGTTTGTCGTTTTTCAGTAACATATATAATGCTATCTTAATCATCCTGTCTAGATCACTATGGAAAAAGTAACGTGAAGCCTGCTGTTCTCTGTAGTCTAGTCTGTATCATTCATGGAAAAAAATATGATAACCTTACAAAAAAAAATATGATCCTGGATTCCTGGTGGCATCAAGAATTTGAAATGTGTGCCTCCAATTTGAGTGGGTGGCAGAACAAATGCACAGTTTTATAAAAATATGATTGGTAATTGGAGTACATTTGTGCTCATTATTCTCACCTCAACTTTTTTTTGCAATTCAATTCATATTTTTTTTTATTGCACCCATATCAATGCAATTAATTTACAAATACAATTGATTATTTTAATTAAATTTTAAAAAGTATAAAACACTAAAAAAACGAAAATAATAAATAATTTAATTAAAAAAATGATGTGACTTGCAAATTGCAATCCATAGTTATATTAGATGCAAGCTTGCAAAAATGCAATTGTCATCTATCTTGTATGGCAACTATTTTTTACACTACTCATCCTACCTCTTAGAGATGGTGCTATCAGCATTCAGAACACGCAATTAGATTCAAGCTGTTGGTGGAAGAAACCAGAGCAATTTCACTGGGAACAATGGATTCACAAAGGAAATACAACAAACAAGCCTACCACTTTCAGTAGCAGCACAATAGTCTTAAGAGGAACGTGTACATCAAGTCAAATGTATCGACGAACTATCTGCAGCACATTCTTGACTCCTATCCTCGAAAGGGGTTGCTCCAGGGAAGTACTTCAAAACCAAAGTCATACCTGTTTCTTCTTTCTAGGCACAGCAGAGCCGCGGTGATGTATGATTCCCCACAACTAGATAGCAGCTACTTCCAATGCAGGCATGGTTGTTTAAGCGATGCTTCTTACGTATTGGTCAAGAGCAGTGTTGAAAAGTTCACAACTGTGCGGAGAAATAAAGTAAACTGTTAACATTGATCATACTGGGTCAAAAGCAGTGCTTCATTGCGTAACAGCACTCAGTTTCGGCATTATGAGCTGATCACTGATCTGACTAGTAATGTGTAGTCTTTTAGTCTAACCCCAAAAGGATTTAGGATTATATGGTTGCAACTTGCAAGTTAGTGCTAGATTAAGAGCTGGCATTTACAACTTAGATGCAAACTTGGTCACTACAATCAATCACAACATATTAAACTCACAGTTCAAAGTTCAATATATCTTAGCCCAGATGATCAATCTCGTCAAAAGTCGAAACACGTTATCACACCATGAAAATGACGAGAGGCAACTGCCACAAGCAGGCATGAATTCGTTACCTGACAGGGGTTCCAGGAGTGTACAGTGGGTTCTTCACAACATATTCCACATACAGGTTGTAAATGTACTTGAGGAAGTCTCTTAGATCACCAGTTTTAGGATGAGTTACCAAGATTATCTGAAAAATTATCAACACAAAAGAGAAAGAAGAAAGGTTAACAACATCACAAATCGAGACTCGTAACCCCTACACGAAGCAAGCATTCATCAAGCGTAATGCGGACACACAATTTTGCTTCCTCTATATCCCCTAATTTGAGAACTTGGCAAGGCACAAAGTCGCACAAAATCGAGATTCATAACCAATGGCTGCCATTGACAAATGAAATTCACAACAGGACGCAGCAAAACCAACACCGTATTTGAAGGGGCAGGGTCTATACCTTTATCCCAGAAGGAGTTTCCATGAAACTCAGCTTGTATGTATTAGTACGAAAGCTGTGAAAAGAACAACCCTGGCCAGGTAACTGAGGCACCCCAAGGTTCCCTTTCTCAGCACTGCCCCTCACAACCAAACAACCAAATAGACAGAGTTCAGGGAGCTGAATGCGTTCTAGCAACTGGAAAGCTGCAATTCGAAAGAAAAAAAAAAACCCTAAAGAAGAAATCCAAACCTCGTGGGATCCATCTTGGCGGTCAAGGACTTGAGGGAGAAGAGCAAACCGAACATGAGCTTGTGGTCTTGTTGCGCGTTCAGAGTGTGAAGCGGCCGATTCCACTCCTTGTACAGCAAGCACACGCCATTCCTATTGAATACATAGATCATGTGCGCATTGTTCCCCGGCGCGGTGGGCGCCGGCGGGGATGGACTGATGTCGGAGCCTCCGAAGAACTGCATTCTTCTCCTCGGCCGTCAATCTACAGAAGAGAATCGGATCGATCTGTAAAATTTTAAGCAATCGCCCGAATCCAGAAAACAATTGACCTAGTTATGGCGACGAATTGCTCGAAATGAAACAGATGCGGAAGTTTTAATCCGCGTAACTAATCCGAGAAACACAATCTGACCTGTGACTTCTCTGCAACTTGCGACAATGATGAGCTCCGTTGGATCAATAATCCGAGCAATCGAGCTTCTCTCTCAAGTACTTCTCACTCGGGATTTACCGCTGAATCTGATATCGGCGACGAAGAAGACGGAGGCGCGCTGTAAAAGACGGGGAGGGAAGGCGGAGAAGCGAAAGGCTAGTTTGTTGTTTGAGATAACGACGTCGTAGTGCTGATAATGGGCCTACTTAGTGACCCATCTACATTTGGGCTTTCAGAACCTTCAGAAATTTGCTGATGATTCTTTTTCCCTCCTTGGCCCAAGGGTTCGGCAATTCCTTGGTTGTGTTTCGTTGGTCTATATTGATGGAGTTTTTTTTTTTTTTATCCAAGATAAGCCCCTCGGGCATGGCCGGACAACAGGAATACAAAATATATAGTAATAAAGAACGGTAGCCCGTATGCAACCGGACTCCCGATAAAAGAGCTTGTTATGCCACAAATGGGCAGCTCCATTAAAGCTCCAAGGAGCGAAAAGACACGAAACTGACACGGGACAGGAAGAGAGAAAAAAAACTTCCCTGGAAATGGCTCCGGTTCCAAAAAGAGAAGACTTCCTCGATGTAGGGTCCATGATGACCATTTGAAAATCCCCACAACATGTGACAATCAATATATTATTAGTAAGCATTAATAATACCATAATAGGATTTAACAAAATCAATTGAAAGGGGTCCATAACCTTAGAAGTTGACTGAGTCTCTAGCCATCCCTGAGAATTCTTTAGAAAGACTAAAAACGGGAAATTCAAATAAAAAAAAAGACAAAACTTAAAGACCAAATTAATAAGGGAAAAGCCTAACTAATGCCTCAAAGGGTCCAATTAATCAAAAGAGCAATTAAAGGACAAAAAAAAAAAGGAAACCGCCTAGCTAATAAAAGGAAAGTGAAAGGAGGAAAAATGAGTAATAAAAACCAAGATAATTGCGGGCTTAATTAACGGAATTAAAAACACCAACGCAATCAATGGCTAGGTCCACTTATGAGAAAATACAAGGCCCGTCTCAAAATGGCAGATCCGGGGAAAGAGCATTGATATTGAGAGAATTTCCAGGAGCTACAAAGAGTATTGATTAGGGAGCATAAAAGGAAATCTACCAATTTACATTAAACTACGATTTAAATTACCATTGGATAAAAGTTTTATACTTTGACCGGTAAAAACTAGTAAAGTGACCAGATTTACAGCAGCAGCAATAACTCTGATAATTATTATTTACTACCTCACTTATGAGAAATTCAAAAAGCAGTGGTAAATATAAATGTGGTGGTCGGGACGGTTTCCGGTCACCGGAAGAAATCTCAAAAGAACACCGACGTTGAGAATGGTAGAAAACGCGGCATGATCATCGGAGAGGATAGGTGGTTTCTTAGAATGTGTTAACCAATAACAATGACTCGAGTTATTTGGGTTCTTCGAATCCCAAGCCAGTGGATAAACCACCTCGAACATTGGATAGCAATCCAACTGGATTGGATAGGCATAATGCGTCGTCACTAGGACGAGATGAACACAATCGAGCAGACCTTACTTTAGATAGCAATATGACTAAATCAGTCAACTCAAGAAGTTCAAACCAACATGAACGGGAGCCAAAGGAGCACCTAACACGCCGAGAAGCAATCTCAGACCAGCCCTTTTGCAACCATCCGCCGACGACGACGCTGCCGACGGCGCTCTGGCGAGTGGACCTTTCATCCACCGGCGACCCCACCGACCTTAGTGTGCCGAGTATACCGTTGACGGCAGCATAGTTGTAGTTTCCCTGCGAGGCAAGCGATGAGGGAAAGAGCTTCGCTGAGTTGGAGTTTAGCTGCAGTCAGTCTGTAACATACAGATATACAGAATAATTTCAGTAACTATGCAGTTTTCACTCTTCCAGTGGATTAATCCTCGACAGTCCAGGGACACAATGTAAAATCGGTTGTTTATGTTCTTTTCGTTCTGTTTCATTTCGATAAATTTTCGATTAGTGATTTAATTTTTTCGATGAACTAAAGATCAGTTCGTGGTTTACACTTTACATGATGGTTGGATAGGGGTGCGCATTCGGTCGGTTCGGTTTCGACCGAACCGAAATTATGAATACCGGATTCCCGAATTCTCCCAAACCTCAAACCGAATTCGAACCGAATTATAATTTGGTTCGGTCGGTTTAAACCGAACTATAATTTGGTTCGGTTTGATTTTATCACACAAAACCGAATTTGTGAAGCTACTTGTATTTTCTCACTTTTAAATTATTTTTCACCCCTAATATAAACATTAAATATCAATTATATGCATCATCAATGATAAAACCAAACTTTTCAACACATAAGTCATAAAACATTTCAAATATTTAAGTCTAACAACAACTACAAACATAAAAATCCACCATTTGGAGCTTGCAATTATAGTATTTCGGTTTTTCGGTCGGAAATTCGGTTCGATTGAAAGAACCCTGATTTCCGAACTATCCATATTTTCCTTCCGAATTCCGAACCGAATAGCATTTATTCGATTTCGGTTCGGTTCGGGTTTACCGAACCGTTTGCCCACCCCTATGGTTGGACATCTAATTTTTCAGCTATGTGATAAGCTTATCAATATATGTCTATAAGAATGGAGATTACTTCAGTCGATTACAACCTTGTGCAAACAGTGACTTAATGTTAGCTATCAAAAATACCTTTTTATATCTAATCTATAGTAAGTAGCGACTATATCAAACCAAATCCAAACCAAATTGAATAATTGTAATTTTGATATCGTTTTCGCTATTTTGTTTCCGAACCGATAGACTCTTTCGTCCATGTTATACCCAACAAACAAATATAGTTTAGGAAAGAACATCACTAAACAGGTAAACATAAGGGTCAATACCTTAGTTTGGCCCGAACTATAGACAAACTTTCTACTTTGGCCCGTGGTATCGGAAATTGCTACTCTCGCCTAAACTATGTAGCATACTTTCTTATTTTACCCGAAGGCGGGTTTGACCGTTAGTCAAGGTCCACTTCACTTGCCACGTTAGCTATCGGGGAATTTTTTTTTTTTAATTTTGTTTACTTTCCACAAAGAGATCGTCTCCCAGCTTGCTGATCATTGGAGGAGAATGAAGGTTTTTACTTCTCAACTGCTTTAGTAACAGCAGATCCCAAGCAGAGTTGCAGTTCACCTTATATGCATGTGAAGGGTTTGCCTTCACCAAATCCGATTCGGACCTGGAAACCTTGGGTTGGGCTGCCACGTTTAACCTTTTCTTTTTCTTAACCAAATCTAAACCGGACCAATTCGCTTGGATCCCTGCTTTTACCGTTTTCTTTCCGAGCCAATACGGCAGTCTGACCGAACCGGACAACAAGAATGATAAACAGTAAAACAATAAACAGATCACAAGAGAACAAGAGAGATGGTTCAGATGAATTACTTGGCAATTCACTCAAAAGCAATCGAAATCCCAGATCACAAGAGCAAGAGAAAGCCTTGAGTAGTTCGGATCTTAACACAAGGGCAACTGCAAGGAACGAATTGGAATTCGAACACGAGACACAAAATTGCAGTGCCTGAGAGTTACTACTCTACTGTACACACTGTCAATACTCCCATTTCTTCATCTCCATACCATCAGGAGCACTTCCTTCGATCTTCTTACTCCCCACGTCCTTCCAGTTGGTCGACAACACTGTTCCACTCGACTCCACCTGCAGAATAATATGATACGAACATCAAGAATCGGAGGCAGAAGTCCAAATTCCATACATTATCACGTCGACAGAACTATAGACCATATGAAGAGCAGAGATGATAGTAGGGCTGGCTATTTGGTCCCGGACTGTTTTGTTTTACCCGAAACCGGACCGTATAACCCGGTCCGGGTCCGGACTTGGACCGGATAGCAAACAATGCAATCTCATATTCGGGGTTAGATTTGAGGTAAAAAACCGGATAAAGACCGGATAAGAGACCCCCAACACCTAAAATCAAGATAAAATTGGGACCGGACCGGGTCAAGACCGGGCTGTATCCAATTCGATCTTTGGTCCTTATATTCCCAAAAAGACCGGACTGAGACCGGATCAATTTGGTCCAATTTAACCGGACCGTATAGCCACCCCTAGATGGTAGGATATCACATCGATATAGAAGGTTAAATTCCATTATACATTATGGCATGGACAGAGCTATGGACATTATTGAATAGCAGAGACAGTAGGCTCTTACAAAGGATTTCTGCATGGCTCTTCTCGTGTCTTCATCAGCATCCTTGTATATTTCCCTGAAGAATTTGTTCAGAGCTGCATCACCGTCCAGCTTTTCATCCTTTTCCTAAAGGAAACAAGAGCCAAAAGTTGAGGAACATTACTATTGACTATTTTTCAGAGAGAAAGGGATGGCAAAGGTAAATCAACTTATATACCTCTTTCTTTACTTGTGCTTCGAGTTTATCCCAGTCAACTTTCTTCGGTTTTGAAGATGGGTATGTGGGTCTCATGGCAACCTCTGCATAGTCCATCAGACAAAGGGAACTTTATTAACACATCATATTGTTGCTCAACCCAGTAGAGGTTTAAAATCAAAACCGCCTAACCTTGAATTTAGGTTTCTATAGCATGGCATTGTTGTTCAAATTCACAGTGTAGAATATTGCAAGAAACAACACAGTATCAGCATATTTAACATACCGGAGGAAGTGTCCACCCTTCTAACGACAGTTGTTTCCTTGTACTCTAGAGAGGTCCAGTGTATCGGTTCAGCTTTCGCGAGACTGATTTCCACTTTGGTAGACAATACAATATACTTGCAGTTGGCAGGTACTATCTGTGACCAATATTAAGGAAGAAAGAGAACATTCGTAATATTCTGGATAACAGATTTTCCAGAAAGCAAGAGTAGAGGAAATAACTAGTAGAAGACATCATCATAGGAGCCTCAATAGAGTAAATTTGAAATTCGTACACATGTCTAAATATTATCTATTTCAAACTTTACAACACATTACTTCAAAGAAATGATCCTCCTTATACCTTGCCAAATAAACGAGGCTGGAGATGGTATGCATCTTCACCAGGAACGTTGATGCTTACGCTTAGCTGTAAATTGAAGCAAAACCAAACAAAAGGAGTTAAGAGACTCATTACACAGAATTGGCACTCATCAAAAGCAGAAAGACCACAGGCACCTACAATCTGTTCACCAAAGTCAACGGACACACTGTCAGCTGGCACACGCTTGGCAAATATAGTCACAACGACTTCCTCAGGCTTCTGATAGAAATCGTGCCTGCAGAACTCAGACCAGCATAACTTTTGGTGAGAAACGGGCCATCAAACAGGCTAATTGTTCTCCTAGAAGAATACAATGCTGAGTGGCAGCAGAGAGCAACTTAGAGTGTGATTCAGACTAAAGTAGAACCCCATGAATGCATCAAAATGCAAGATAGAAAACAAATTGATGTAGCGGTAAACGTGCAAAAGTATGTTATTGATATTTGGACTGCTTCAAAGACAATTACAGGACAACCAGCACTCACTTGTATTTAGGCTTGGGCGGAGCTACATCTTGTGTCTCGTTGGAGAGTCCATTCACTGGTTCCTCTTGCATGGGGGTGGCATTTGATGGGAGTTCCAACTCCTCTTTTGGCAACTGGCCTGTTTCCTCTGCGAGAAGAAAATAAAACCCCCAGAGAAAACTTGATTACGGACTAACCAAAATTGAAATCATCAAGCATACAGTTGTGCACATCAACATTTTTGTGCCTTAACTTCAAAAACAAAAACCAGTTTAAAGCCTTGACGGACTGTATTCAAGCTGATTATATTGGCACGGCAGAAACCTTATATTAAACTGCCTACATGAGTTTGAACAACACAGGGCATTGAATCTGCAAATGAACAAGTCATTTTACAGCAAAAATCGATCCTTTCTCAGATTACTTAGATGGAAAAAAAAGGCTTTAAATTTTGAAAACCAGCAAGCAACATCCACTAACTCATATATGTCCAAACGAAATCCAACATCAGAAGTCGGATAAGAAGGTTTTCTACTGTTACAAACTCACAAAAACCAGGAAGATTTACTACTTGCTGCCAAAGAGCATTCACATAGACAACTAGGAAGAGCAACATAGGAAAAACAAGTACTGACATATCAGATACAATACATAGACAACTAGCTAGCAGAGAAAAACGGCTCCTACCAGCAATGCGATCTTCACATTCTTTAATCAAAGAAGTGAATCTTGATCTTGAATCAGCGGAAGCCATAGATACCCCGATGTCAAGGGCTGCTTTAGCAGTTTGATACTCCTCCAACTTCATGCATGCTATGCTGCAATCATAGTGGGCAGAATTCAACAAAGAAACATTAAAAAGCAAGAAGAAACTATCGCGTTGTGAATACAAGTCGGTTAAACCTACTAACCCTTTGCGCAAATATGCTTTGGCCATTGAAGCATCCAGCTCAATCGCCTTGTTCGCATCAGAAACCGCCTCTGTCAATGGAAAACGCACATATATCCTTAACAATGATCTCCGCCAGCATACAACCGAGAGCCAAAATACCCAACAGAAACATACGCAACGGAAAGTCTTCCTAGCATACACCGACTGATTCTGTTATCGAACACGGCATTTTCTAATAAAATTTCTCTACACTATCCCAAACGTAGCCGTTAACTGGCACATCGGTAACGAAATCCTAATCATTCCCCCCAGCGAGTTTAGGCTTCCGCCGAAGGAAGAAGAGAGGAGAGTGATTACCAGTGAGATTGCCGAGCTTGATATTTGCCTGAGCGCGGTCGGCGAAAAGCTCGGCGCTGTTAGGGTTGAGGTCGATGGCCTGGGAGTAGAGATCGGCGGCGAGTTGGAAGTGGTCATCGATGAAAGCCTCTTTGGCCTTGTTCTCGAGATCGGAAGCCATTGATGTTGCAGCAGGCAGAGCAGAGAATGGAAGAGTCTAGAAGGCGACCGAGAGGGGAACTGAAAGGGAGGGAGGGAGGGAATATGATTGACTTGACAAATTAATCCAAGTCTTCGAACTAATATAGATAATAAATAAATAAATAAATAACCAGTAAAATTGTTTATACTTGCCTTGGCTGGGCCCAAAAGGAAATTATACGGAATACGGGCCGGAAATTGCTTAACCAACGCTTTTGGTATCACGGCTTTTTTGTTCTGGGCCCAATATATTTCCCATGAAAGTAAGGAATTAATTAGTGTAAATGCGTAATTATGTGAGGGTAATTTTTGGAAGCATAGTGATAGTAATTCGTAAGGTATGCCACTGATGAAACATTATATATTTCCTTTTCAAATTTGAAAATTTGACGAATCATCTCTATTTTCGGATTATTGCGAAATTGTTTTCAAGTCTTTGAACTAATACAAATAAATAGCAAATAAAATTGTTTATACTATTCATTAAAAAAAGTTGTTAATCTCCTGTTTATTCTTCCGAATTTTACTAAGAGATCTACAAGTTAAAACGAGTTATAATGTGAATCTTTGCAGCTTATTTATGTCATGTTCCCATTTTCCACTAACTCAAATCGATGGTGTAAAAGCGTCACAAACATAAACTAGGAGTGACACAAGATTGTTGAATGTAGAGTCAACATGAAATCTATCAAATTCCATGTATTTCTTTTGAGATTCTTCATAATTCACTAGGAACCCTTCGTGTTACTAATATCTAGTTTTCTGGTGTCCTATCCCATATAGAGTATTGCAATTACTTTTATACGAGCCAAATCACCAACTTAGTAAAGTTTCCCTCCGTCTGACTTTTTTATCATGAGAACTTGATTCAGCGACATCAAACTTCTAATGTTGAACATTGCAAAAGCTCAATATAGGATACTAATGGAGTGATAACAACAAGTGACATTCTTATGAAAATTAGAAATAAAAATGATGCGATCAATGAGTTGTAATATAAGGATCTGGAATCGAAACCTTCATCAATAATGTAAACTTTAGAGAGAACGAGCTAGTCACTTCCTTCACTTACCTTTCTCGTGTGTGTACCCTCCTAGTGGGATCACCAAACGATTGAAAATATGTCATTATACTGTCGTCTCGATTCAATATGAATATCCTACGATTGAACACCTATAAATGTCTTGTAAAAGATTCATAGATTTACACAACATGTTTAAAAAATTAAAACTCGACTTTGTAAGTTTTAGGGTTATGATTGAAATTATGTCGCTATAGCGCCAATCCAACCCTTGAGATTCATAGATATTTGCAAGTTTTCCAATCGTACACCAATTGTCCATTTTAGACACTAGACTAGAGTAATTTGACTTATTTGGTAACATTCATATATTTAGCTTTGAATTTGATACAAAATACATGTATATAAAACTAAACTTTTTAGGTTTCACGGATGTTGTTGACTCTTGAAAGCATGTTATTACCCATCAAACGTTTTGCAGGTTTTACCCATACCCGCCCCATACTCATACGACATACCTATACCCACCCCACTAAGAGAATTTTGATACATCAATGATAGTGAGGGACTGAGGGTACCTCTAGAAAATAAATGATAAAAATGCAATTGAGTGGTCATCCAAATCAAAATCTAATTCCTTTTCATCAAATCTCCCGTCACTCTTTCACTTTTCCCCTCGTGTTAACAAGATTATGTTAGCTAGTTATTAGTTAGTAGATGTATCAGAGTCAGAGAATAATGATTTGGATTACATTTTATTGTACACTATCTTATGGATTAATAGATGGTCGAGGATAAGATGCTTTGAATCTTATAAAGAGTGATTGTCAACTTCGTCAACTTCATGATAGTAGGTGCGTTTAATGTTATAATTGAGAATTTACATGTAAAATTTTAAGTATTATAATGTCGTTTGTATGGGGCGAGTATCACCCATGGGTACCCAAAACCCATGAATATGGGGATTGCTCTGCAAAATCTTTCTTCGCATGGATATGGGGCGGGTATGGATATAAATATTTAAACGCGAGGATGGGAATGGTTTAGCCAAACCCGCCCATTTGCCATCGCTGGTTACAGGTATATGTAGGGGTGGGCAACGGGACGGGACGGGATTCCCGTCCCGTTTTAAACGGGTACCCAGTCCCATTTGGAGACCAAAGTCCATCCCATATCCCAAACTCATATGGGAAACGGGTACCCATTACCCGTACGGGACGGATAACGGGTACCCATACTACCCATAAATACCCAAAGTTTAAATGACATTTTACCTAAAGACAATTAGTCAATTACATCTATTCGTAAAAAAAAAAATAGTCAATTACATCCAAAGCATTCATTTCAAAACATAAAATGGCTGCACAAGTAGCAACTTACACCAATTCCTACAACCCAAAGAAGGGATGATGATGAAGATGAAAAGGAATCAAGGAAAGAGAACAAGTTCTGCTTCCTCGAAAGTGCCATGATTCAATAATAATAATAATGTTGTTTCTACTCAAATCAATCCTCAGTTTGGCAAAATAGGGTGGGGAAGGTGGTGAATTTTGCAGCAGCAAGCAAGGGTGCTCCCACACTTTCCCACTGCCATTACTTCGACCTTTCGTCTCTTCTCTCTTGTCCCGCGAAGACGACTCCTCCAGCCAGGGACAAGACACAAGACAGAGACAAACCTTTCCAAATTCCAGAGAAGCTGCCGCCTACCGTCGCGTGTCTCGCGTCTTCTAGGGCCTAGGGGTGCGTCAGCGTCTCAACTCTCACGGGCTGAATTAAATGGATTTTGTAATTTTAATGGATTTGAATTGGGTTGGGCCTGGACGCATGGGCTGAATTATATGTCTTTGTAATTTGAATGGGTACAACGGGTACCCATATTACCCAAACAGGTATTCGCGGGTAACCCGCGGGTACCCATATTAGAAGGTACAATCCCAAGTCCCATCCGTTTAAAATATTACGGGTAATATGGGTACCTATAACCCTTAAAAAACGGGACGGGTATATCCAAATACCCGTTTCCCTTTGCCCATAGGTATATGGAGAAGCTATTACAACGTCAACATTCGTCAATCTAATCCACGGCAAGCTTCTTCGTAAGAGCAATGAACAATGACGACGACGAGCAAAACCGCGAGCAATGTGCTGATGAACGGAGCGGAGTACTGGCGCTGCCTAGAAGACGTTCTCGCTAGGGTCGTCTCGTTCTGCAGCTCGAGGTCACTGAAAGAGGGGTTCTGCGTTCATGCCCCTGTGGTGAAGCTTTGTCTTCACGATCATCACTACGTGAACAACAACCTGCTGAACCTTTACGGCAAATGCTTCGGACTGAGGGATGCACGCCAGCTGTTCGACGAAATGCCTCACAGGGACGTCGTGTCGTGGTCTGGGATTCTCTCCACTTACGCGAAGAATGGACGGCACGGCGCCGCGATCGACTTGTATCGTGACATGGCGGATTCGGGTGTGTACCCAAATGCCTTCACTTTCTCCTGTGTCGTAAGATCGTGTGCTGCGCTGAGTGATCTTGACTACGGGAAGCGCGTTCATGGTAGTCTGGTAAAACATGGGTTGCAGTCAAACTTAGTGGTGGGAAGCTCTTTGATTGAGTTGTATTCCAAGTTTGACTCTTCAGATGCGACTAAAGTCTTCGGCTTGATCGATGAAGCCGATGTTGTTTCTTGGACAACAATGATCTCTTCCTCAGTTCGAGCTGGTAAGTACCGCCAAGCTTTCCAGCTTTACATCGATATGATTAAGTCTGGAGTCACTCCAAATGGGTTTACTGTCTCCAAAATGTTAGCAGCAAGTGGATTTCTCGGTTTGGAATACGGCAAACTGATTCATGCCCACGCCGTAGTTTTGGGTGTTGAGCTGAATCTGGTAACGAGAACAACACTTGTCGACATGTACTCAAAATGCCAGAGGATGGAAGATGCTGTGAAGGTAGCCAAGCTCACCAATGACTCTGATGTAGTCCTATGGACTAGAATCGTCTCAGGATTTGCTCAAAACTCAAACTTCCAATCGGCTTTGACTGCACTGGCAGACATGAATCGCTCTGGCGTCTCACCAAATGAGGTGACATACTTGGCCTTGCTCAGCGAATGTTCACCAATTCTCTCGCTGGATTTGGGTACACAAATCCATTCGAGAGTAATCACAGCTGGATTAGAGGACCATATCCCCCTCGGAAATGCGCTTCTTGATATGTACATGAAATGCTCTGACACGGTAGAAGATGGGTTGAGAGTCTTCAAGGAGATGCAATTGCCTAATGTCATCTCTTGGACATCGTTAATCGCTGGCTTCTCCAACCATGATCTTCAACAAGATTCATTTCGCTTGTTTATTGAAATGAGAACAGCTGGAGTGCTACCAGCTTCTTATACTCTTACCATCGTCCTCCACGCAGCAGATTCACTGAGCCAAACGTTGCAGCTTCATGCACAAGTGATCAAGTTGAAAGCAAGTCAGCAGATCTTTTTGGGTAATGCTCTCGTGGATGCTTATGCCGGGTCCGGGAGGATTGACGATGCATGGCGAGTGGTTAGAACGATGAACAAAAGAGACATCATAACCTACACAAGTTTGGCCACAAGGCTCAACCAGAGTGGCCATCACAAACAGGCATTGGAAATAGTCCGCCACATTGCCAATGATGATGGAGTGAAGATGGATGGATTCTGCCTCGCTGGGTTCTTGTCAGCATCCTCGTACCTTGGAAAACAAGAAACCGGACAGCAGCTTCATTGTCTCTCTGTCAAGTCTGGTTTTGGCAGCTGCGTTTCAGTACTGAATAGCCTGGTTGACTTCTACGGTAAGTGTGGGCTTTTAGACGAAGCAAGGAGAGCCTTTGCGGAGATTAGAGAGCCTGATGTTGTATCTTGGAATGGGTTGATGTGTGGGTTTGCATCGAATGGGCTTATCGATGATGCTCTATCCACCTTTGATGAAATGAGGCTAGCTGGAGTTGCTCCTGATAAGGTGTCGTTTTTATCTGTGCTCTTCGCTTGCCAACAGGGTGGGTTGGTAGATCGCAGCCGTGAGTATTTTGATTCATTCAGGGAGCAGCATGCCATAGAGCCACGGCTAGAGCATTATTCTTGTTTGATTGATACCATGAGTAAAGCCAGGCGTCTGGAAGAGGCCGTAGAGGTTCTGGAGACTATGCCTTTGAAGCCGGATGCTTCGATATACAGAAATCTGTTGGCTGCTTGCAGAGTTCATAAGAATATGCGCCTTGGAGAAGATATGGCGAGGCGAGGTCTGGAGCTTTGTCCAGGGGAGCCAGTGTTCTACGTTTGGCTTGCCAAGCTGTACGATGACTGTGGGCGGTCTGATTTGGCGGAACAGACTCGGAAATCGAAGAGAGAGTGGTTCTCGAGGGTCGAGCCAGATGGAACATTGGAACAAGATGAATCTCTTCCAGAAATGAAGCATGTTATGCTGTGATATTTGTGTGAATGTTTTAAGGAAAGGCAATAGAGTGAAATTTTCATTTCTCCAGCCAAGATTGTGCTCGTCCTTGTCGGTACACGATGGGAGCTTCGGCATTGGAAAAGTACAAGTTCTAGCCCGATTCTTGATGCGCAGAGCTGGTTTGATAGGAGAGATCACCAGAATGCCTTGTTTCTGCAGACTAGCGGTTAAGAGCTTCTGATATTTATAGAGAAAGGCTTGCATTGTGCCTGACTAACTAGCTGATTTAGGACATGCAATCTTAAAGCACCAGAGATTCTGTATAATGTATAGGAATTTCTGAAACCGCCTGATTTTGAACGAAAGAGTTAACTTCTCTCGCCAATCAATGTTTCTAAAAGATCAGAGAAATTCTCATTTGCCTAAAGCATTCTGAATATACTCATCCATGACAAATGAAGTCTCTTCCAGATAGTATATTGAAATGATCAAGTAACATGAAGATAAAAGTCCTGCAGATAACTTTGAGAACCTTGTATCTTCACACACGCACGCATAAGTTCCTGCTAGCGAAACCCAAAATCTACACCGTCGATGGCAAGGACCGCCACAGTGGAATTGATCAATTGGAACTGAAAGGCAAAACAGAGATTTGAAGAAAGAACTTCCTCCTATCATTTTGATTGGTTCCAAAGATTATTAAGCAGAATGGTTCTTCAAAGCCACTGTCTCATAAAAATGAAACAGCCTCTATTTAAATGTGGCTGAAACAGAAAATTACAAAGATGACAAACACAAACAAGATCCAAGAAAATAGTGTCTTATGATGGAAGTTCCTCGATGCAAGTTCCAGCAGCGTGCTACACTGCCTTTGACTCACCGGAGGTGACAGCAGGTGGTGCCTCCTTGGAATTCAATTGCAACTTCTCTAGCGTCGAGTAGAACTCCTCGGGGAGAGGACCAGGTCGATGTAGGGGGACGTGCTTAGGCACTGGAGCATCATTCTCTATAACCTCACATTCATAGTCATCAGGGACACCCCAGGGATCCCACTCTGCAAATACATTCAAGAGATAATGAAGATCATTATTGTTAGTCGCTCTTCATTTCACTTCCATGCATTAGCGGAAAGAAAACCAGTACTGTAGGACTAAGCACATTAGGTGGAGTTTGATGAACTATTCACTGCAGTGAAGTAGTGCTCGTGTTGCTATATCACCCTCATAAAGAAAACAGTAGTGCTCATGTTGCTAAGAAATGATTGGGACAGAGCAGAAAAATGCTAAACATTAGATGATCTGATACCATATCGATCATAGTATAGGCTATTGGATGTCAATGATGACACTGTAATATTGCGTCATTATACCCAGAGAGTAGCATACACCAACATAGACCCAGAGACAGGAAGTTTATACATCCGATCACTGATCAACTGAATGACTTGAGCCATATAATTTTGTTCATTTCGAGTGGTTACATTATCTTGTGGTACATTATATAAGATTTAAACCAGATAGAACTCCCGAATCAAATGCAAAGCGATCATAATTCCAGTTCAGGATCGTACAAACCAGAGAACAATCCAAAGCCCTAAACCGAGACTTTCAACAACCCATAGATTCACACTGTAATTTTTGGCCAGAGCCTTATCAAAACCATACTACAGTCTATAGGTAATAGCCAAGCACCTCATTTCTACAGACATTTTCAACCAACTAGTAGAAAACGTTCTTCCACTATAACTCAGTCACAAACTTCAATTATAGATCAAACACAACTTAAACCAAGGAACTTCACTACCACTTCAACCAAACCCTCTAAGCGCAAAATTCTTTCAGGGGTCAAAATAAAGCCATAGATATACCTCAAGAAGCAAGAAATCAATCACAGCATACGCCAATTCCGAAGTCCCATACCTACATTACATCTACCATTTTCAACGCAGCTGTCAAATGAAGATGCTCAGAATTTCAGACTCGGCTATTCTATGGCGCTGAATCAAAGCAACCGTACAATGGGCGACAAATGACAGCAAATTGAAGAATTCAACAAAAATCGTACTGACCGATCATTTTCTCGATGAGCTTGAGCTCGTCCCTGGCCTCCTCGATCAGCTCCTCGACCTGACCGCAACCGAGCCTCTTCTCGATCGCCTCCCAATCCTCCTCCTCCCGGCATACCGTCAGCCTGTGCTTAGTGAAGCTCTCCACCGCCTTCCGGTAGCCTTCGTCAGGAGGGACCGCCTGAATCTCTTTTAGGGTTTTGGAGTAGAGGGAGATCAACACTTCCCTGGCGTTGGGGACGACGTCGAGCCCGACGATCCCCGTCGTCTGTTTCACCCCGGCCATCAATGGCCGCGCGATCGCCCGCAGGAACATCGCGAGTTTCCCACTCTGGCACCAGTTGCAGATCAAAATGGCTCCCTCGCTCGCTCCCGCTTCCGGCTATTCTCACAGTTTCTCTCGCTCGCTCGCTCGCTCGATGCAGAAAAATGGGAGCTGTGAATTGGATTTGGTTAGCTCAGAGAGGCTTTGCCAATGGAGAGTGCGAAATGGTAACCAGATCGCATTTCCGCCGAACCCGAAAATCACGAAGTGGGCCCGTCCATTGGATGTTGGTTGTATAATCTGGAGTAAGCCCATTGACAAGGTTTGGGCCAAACATATGGCCTATTAGAAATTTCTTTTGTTATGGTCTTATGTATCAGTTATTTCCTGTAAACTTTTTTTTTTATGGAAACTTGCTTAATTTCCTGTAAACTTTAGGATCACTCAATTTTATCATTTCTAGTGAATTTACTATTTGGAGATAATACCACTATAATATTAAATTTCAATTTTTGTTGGAATTTTCATTTATAATTTATGTACTCAAAATTGTCGTTGACGGTTAGAATTAACAGTTGATGACAAAATGATCATAAATAAGTTTTATTTAGCTATATATTAAGCAAGGAAGAAATAGACATCCTTTGAATGATGGATTTTTTAAATAAGGTTATTTAATCCAATTGCCTCACAATTGTCTCATTCCATAATTGATGTATGATTTTAAAATGTACTATCGATCCCTTTATCAATTCAAATTAATGTAAAATGAGGCGATTCAAATTGGGTCAATTTTTGTGATTTTGTGTGTTTAGAAGGAAAAAAAAAATTATGTGTTTTTCACTGATCTTGCATGGACCAAAGCTAAACAGCACACTGACTCAAATAAATAGAGCAAAGGAGTCTAATCACCAGACCTTTCTCTTAAAAAGGATGTCAATTTAAGAAGCTAAACATGAACATACAGTAGCAGATGCTGATACTGCAACATCAGTTCAGTTCCTCCCGACACCAACATTATGATCAGCAGAATAGTTGCTTCAACTGCTGTCAGAAGATTGGATCAGGGGACTTCACTTGATACTGTAAGCTCTGTACATGACGATCATCCAAGCTTGTTCATGGTGAAGCTTAGTAGTACAATAGTAGAATACAAGGCTACTGCAAGTTTGTGATGGTTCAAAAGAGTGATCTCTGAAGCAAGAGCGTTTACAGAATATAAACTACAGGAAGTTGGAATGTTAAGGATACGAAAAGGTCAGCTAGGATTGAACAACGGAAATGGCGAAGTTGCGAGCTTGCAACAACAGCCAACTAAACCAAATCGCTTCTTAACTACGTCCTCAAGTTCTAAGAAGATGAAGAACAACAACAGACCACAAGTGCGTGGAGTAGAGAGAAAAAATACATGACCAAATTACACCAAAAGAATGAAAAACGCGCCATGCTCTACTACGTGGAAGCAGCAGCAGCAACATTACTAGTTGTTGCGAGGAGATGATGACTTCTATTGCCACTAGCAGCAAGCCTTCCCCGCCCAATCCCTCCATTCCTCTGCCCACTAAACGCCATCCTGGCCGCCTCTTCAATTCCTCCCATCATCTCCCTGCCTCCTCCTGATGATGATCTCTTCTCACCCAAACCGTGAACCCTCTGCCCGATTCCAAGTCCCAAAGGGGCAGCAACAGCATTCTTCTCCTCCTCCACCTCCCTCTCCTTAACGGTGTTGTTGTTGTCCCTCGAGCTCCATCGATCCGTCGAATCAGCTGAACTAGGCTCCCACCCGGAGTTATAAGACGAATTCCCCCAACCACCACCACCACCGGCAACAATGCTGTTGCTCCCTGAAGATTCTTCTTGCATTTCCATCTCTTCTTCCCTACCACATGACAACCCACTTCCCCTTCTCACAGTCACATACTTGTGGAAGCTCGGTTCCATGAGATCATCGATTGTCACCACCTCAGATTCCACCAAAAAAGGGTCTTTGGCCTTGGACAGCTGCTGCTGCTGCTTACGGTGATGATCTTCGGACAATGTGGATGACAAGTTGGAGCTTGTGGTAGAGTTGAGGTCAGCCACCGCGTCAAGGATCGAGCACGCTTTTGTGACACAAGCCGGTAGCTGGAATGACGACGACATCGATGGAGGAATGTTGTTGCTGTTGTTGCTGATTATGTTAGTGTTACTGCTCTTGTTATGGAAGTTGTGGATGTCTTCCAGCAACAATGAAGTGTAGGACGTTTGCTGTGGATTGAGTAAAGCTTCAGTATTTATATCCAGATCTCGGGATCTCCTTGATGACCTGCTCCTCGTCAGCGGCTGCTTCAGGCTTTCAGCAGCAGGCAGAGGGTTTTGCTTCTACAAATTGGCAATTGCAAAACAATGTTAGACTATAATCTTGTTTACAGCTGAAAAGGAGTCGTGGAAATCAAACTACGAACAGAAACTTGAATGAAACCCTAACCTGAATCGGTTCCCTGCCATCATTATGTGCCCAATTGCTGCTGGCCTTGGCCCCGCTGGCTTGCGGGTAAGCCAGAGAGCTAGGGTCAATTTCAGCAAGTGGGTTCCTCCTGTGAGGAGATTGTTCAGCTTTCCTTGAGGAGTTCCTGCTCAGCGATGGCTGCTGTTGATTGCAGTCGCTCTTGGTTCTTCCAGGAGACCTCGAACGGGGAGACTTTGAACGGGGAGACGCCACACTCCTGGAACCCGCAGCAGCAGGAGCTTCCCCACCAGCGTTCCTCTTCACGGAAATCCGTTTGATTCCGCTGCTGTTTGCTGCCTGTGCAGCTTCGACGCCATTGTTGTTGTTATTGGAATTGGATTTATTGGAAGAAGGAGCAGAGGAAACTGTAGGCGGGACGGAGACCATTTTCCCAGGCGGCTTATTCCCATTGCCATTGTTATTGTTGTTGTTGTTGTTGTTGTTAGCAATGGAATTGCCAGCGTTCGCCGCCGCAGAGGCGGCGGTGTTGCTCTCAGATCTTCTCCCGGGAGATCTACTAACCCGCCGTCCACTCCCGCTGCCGCCAGGGCCTCTCTCTCTGCTTCCGGAGCGCTGTTCCCTCTCCCTACTGGGCGTCCTCCTCCTCGCCTGAGAAGCAGGCGAGGAGTTCCGGCTGGATTGGCGGTGACGGTGCTGCCTTCTGCTGTCTCTCCTCTCGTCCCCGCCGTCTTCCTCCTGACCGAGATCCCTGTCGTTCTGCTCGTCGAAGTCGAAGCTCCTCTTAGACCCGCTGTATTTCCTCTTCGCCGGAGAAGACTTCCCGGCGGTGCCGAAGGAGTTGTTCCGGCTGAGCCTCCCGCACTGGATGAGAATGGCTTCCACTTCCTCCTTACTGCAGCTAGAGGTCCTCACCGCCGCAGCAGCAGCGCTGAGACCGCTCACGCCGTCGACCTTCCCGTTCTCGATGCTAACGGCGCCGTTATCGGATCCCGAAATTTCCGGGGAGGAGGAAGAGCGCGGTTTGTTATTGTTGCCGCTGTCGTGGCTGTTCCTGTGCTTTATCACGAATATCTCCTTCTTCTTCGAGCTGTCGTCATCCGCCGCCGGTGAGACTTCGTTTTTAACGACCTTGACGGACTGCTTCTGCTCTCCGGCCTTGGCCATCGGTTCACCCGGACAAGGAGATGATGATGATGATGTGGCCGCATTGTTGACTGAAGAGGAGACGGTTTTCTTGCTACAACAAGTCCCCATTTTTTTCCGACGGCGAAGAAATTGATTGAAGAAGGAGACGGGAAATTGTTTACTGGTGGGTAAGAAAGGGGGAGAGTTTGGAGAGACAGGGGGAAGGGTCAAGGAAAAGAAGACGACATTTGTGGGGAAAGGTAAAGTAATGATTTGTTGGGATTTATGGTGGGAGAGAGAGAGATACAGAGAGGAGAATTCAAATTGGGAAGGAGAGAGAGAGAGAGAGAGGGGGAGAATGGAACGGGGATCTGAAATCTGATGGTGTGGTGGGTGGGTGAGAGTTTCGAAAGGGGGGAAAATCAAAATAGAGCCGTTAGATTGGAAGAGAGACGTTAGGCCCAGCAGTGCCCCCAGCCAGCCCGAGCCCAATTTATTTTCAATTTGTGTAACTGTTGATTTCCGGTTCTTCTTTTCAGAACTTTGATTATTTTATATTTGTATCGGTAACGGTTCCTCCATCTTGAATTGGTATTTTGAACTGAGATAGAACTTGGGACGTTCAATCCCTACTAGTTTTTTACTGATTCCGGATGATCTCTGTGCTTCAAGAATATATGCCTTCAGTGGATTATTTTTTAATTTTGGATTTAGAACTTATGTATTTAGGGGTTGTTTGGAAGTTGCGAAATGTTAAATCGTTGCATTGTAATGAATCACCATAATATTAATGCATGTATTGATGCAATAGATGTATTTTAACAATACATTGTTTGGTTGTTGAGATTCTATTTTATGCATTGATTTATATAAAGTTACTTCATGGGGGAAGTGTCACATTTATCCTCAACTTTTAGAATAAGACAAAAACTATTAAGGATAAAATGGAAAGAAAAATTTGACACAAATCTAAAACCAACAATCATAACAATCTCAAATTTTAGTTGAGATTGTATAATGCATCATTTTTTATGATTGTTGGTGGGACCTATCTAAAACAATGCATGCATTGTTTTACACTTTGACACTTCCAAACATTATATTGTGCACAATACATGTATTCAACAATCACTACTCTAACAATCACAACTTCCAAATGACCCCTTACAATACATCATGTTGATACGTAAGAAAAGTCTATCCTTATAAAAAGATAAAAGTAATGTATTATGAATCTCACATTGTTGCAAAACAGCTACATTTTTTATATTTGTGCAAAATGCACACATTATGTATATTTATCAGACAATATATTCTTAGAATTAGAAATACAACTTATTATTCACATGATCTTAATATATGTTGGGAATCATCAATTTTAGAATCAATTTTAGAATCAGAGTCGAACAACTTACTTTCTGACATTATATTAAAGTACAAGAAATTGTGTATAATATATAGAAACCAGCTTGACTTTAAAAGACTAATGTCGCGTCAATTCTCTCGAAGAATTACAAAAAGGATTCAACAAGAAATTTTCACATGCCTTAACCATTCTGAATGTTCTCATCGATAAGAAGTCGCTTCGAAAAAGTATATTTAATTGATCAAGCAAAAACCTAAGATAACATTCCTTTACACTATGTTTGGGAAAGGGTGTAAATGGAAGGGGGTGCAAGTTTGGAGGGGTAAACACAAGTTCCAAGGTGTTTACCCCCGTTTGGTTATTTTGTAACAGTAGAGGGGTGCAAAACGTGAGCGTAAATTCACTGTTTCGGCTTACCCCCCAAATTGGGGTGCAAGGGGAGGAAGGAAGGGAGGGGGAAGGGGGAGGAGGGGAATTATGAATTTTTAATTAGATTATAATTACATAATAATTAATATTATTAATTTTTTCGTATATCTATATTAGTGTAGAAGTTGTTTGGGGTTGACCGTTTGACTCAGAGAGCAAGTTTGTCAATGTTCGCCTCGTCAAATCGATATATCTTATTTGACCCGAATTTGCATTGAAAATTAGAGATAAGAAGCGTTTGTTGAAAAGATAGAGAGGAACAGTTTAGTTAACTCGATTTACTTTAATAAGTAGTTAAAACCTACAGATTCGAACGTGTTTGACTAAGTTTGACCATATTCAATTTAAAGTTAGGCACGAGAACCCCGTTAGGATGACTAGTTACGAGTTGGATTTCGAGTTTCGAGGTTGCTCGACCAATGATTATTATTGTTGTTATAAATAATTATATTTGAGCATTATTATATAATAATTATTTTTATTAAAATTATTTTTATTATTATATATTGAATTTTCATGTTATTATTTTGTGATAATATTTTATAAATTGATAAATTTATTTTATAATAATATAATTACTTACTTTTTACTCTATTTGCACCCCCCTACTTTTTCATCCAAACAACAATTTACCCCTCCACTTACACCCTCCACCAAGTTGCACCCCCCAACAATTTACCCCTCAACTTGTACCCCCCTCGAACTTGCACCCCCCTTGTTGCCAAACATAGTGTCCTTTAGAGAACATTCAGAACATTGTTTCTTCGAACACTTGTGAGTAGTGACGCAAGTTCCTGCTAACGAAACCCAAATTGTTGGCTTTGATTGGTTTCAAACATTATTGAGCTGAATGGCTCTTGAAAGCCACCGTCTCATAAAATGGAACAGCCTACCTATACTTAAACGTGGCCGAAACTGAAAATTACAAGATGACATTAAAATTTTACCCTTGCACGTTCCAGCAGTGTGCTACTCTGCCTTTGACCTGCCGGTGCTTCCTTAGAATTCAGTTGCAACTTGCAACTTTCCTACCGGCCAGTAGAATTCCTCGGGGGAGAGGACCAGGTCACATTCTTCATGCTTTGGCACGAGAAGTCGAGAACATCATCCTCTGTGACCTCGCATTCATACTCATCAGGAACACCCCAGGGAACCAACTCTGCGTTTACATTCAAAAGATGATGAAGATCAATATTGTCAGTCTCTCTTCATTTTCACTCTCATGCATTCGCAGAATGAACAACCAGTAGTTTAACGATAACCATATTAGCCAGAGTTCGAGGAAATATTCTACTACAACGAAGTGGAGCTGCTTGTATTGCTAAGAACTGATAAGGGAAAAGCAAACTAAATGTGAAACATTTGATGATTTGATACCATCATCATGCGTATGATATGCTATTGCACGTCGAGGATGAAACAGCAAGGTTGTGCCACATCAACCAGGGAGTAGCACAAACCAACATAGACCCAGAGACAATCAGCATTTTATATATCAAATAACCAATCAACTGAATGACTAAAGCCATAGAGTTGTTCATCTTGTTACATTGTCTCCCTAGTACATTGTACATGACATAAACCAGATAGGACTCTAGAATCAAACACAAAACAGTCACAAACTCCAATTCAGGATTGTGAAAACATGAGAGCAATCCCAAAGTCCTAAACCAAAACTTTCAATAAGCGTTAGAAATTGTTATCATCCTCAAAATAAGACTACAAGAAAGTACAATAAAAGCTTTTAATCGAAGGTTTTATGTGTAGAAAACATATGACAGACAGCCATAGTACTTCATTTCGCCAGACATTTTCAGACAAATATTGGACGATGGTCTTCCCCTACAACTCACACACTGACTCCTACTCTAGCAGATTACAAACATCTTGAAAAAGCAAAGGAACTTCACTAGAAATCCAACCCCGTCCTCCAAAGTTCCAAACACATTATAATCTTTAGTAGGTCATGATAAAGCCATAGATATCTCAATTTAAGAGGCACCAATTTTAAATCCAATAACTAAATTCCGTCAACCATTTTCAGCGTAGCTGTGCTGTCAAATGAAGATGCTCCGTATTATAGACTTGACTATTCTATGGTGCTTAAGCAAAGCAATCATGCATTGGCGGCAGATAAAACTCAAATGAAGCATTCAACAAAAATCTTACTGACCGATCATTTTCACGATGTGCTTGAGCTCGTTCCTGCCATCCTCGACTTGGCTGTATCCGAGCCTCTTCTCGATTGCCTCCTGATCCTCCTCCTCATGGCAAACTTTCAGCCTGCGCTTAATCAAGCTACCCCCTGACCTCAAGCCTCCTCGTCGCATGATCACCTTGGGCATCAATGACCGAGCGATCAATCACAGGAACAGCAGATGATGCCTTTTCAGAGATTCAATAGCAACTTTTCTAGTTTTGAGTAGAATTCCTTCGTGGGAGTACCAGGTCGATGTAGGGGAACGTGCTTAGGCACTGGAGCATCATTCTCTATGACCTCACATTCATAGTCATCAGGAACATCCACTGCATCCCACTCTGCAAATACAGTCAAAAGATAATGAAGATCGTTACTGTTATCGCTCTCCATTTATTTCCATGCATTAGCAGAAAGAAAACCAATACTATAACACTAAGCATATCAGCGCGAGTTTGAGGAAATATTCAGCTGCAGCAAAATGGTGCTGCTTATGTTGCAAAGAACAGATAGGGAAAGAGAGGGGGAAACTAAACATTTGATGATATCATTCAATCATCGTGGATATTTTACGCTATTTGCTGTCAGGGATGAAACTATGGCCTTGCATCATTACGACAAGAGAATAGCATAGACCAACATAGACCAAGAGACAGGCAGCATGTTTATACGTCAGATCACTGATTAACTGAAATGGCTTGAGCCATATAATTTTGTTCATCTCAAGTGGTTACATAATCTCGTGGTACATTGTACATGATTTAAACCAGATAGTCTCCAGAATCAAATGCAAAACGAACACAACACCAGTTCAGGATTGTGCAAACACGAGAAAAATCCCAAAGCCTACACAAACTTTGAAACAACCCTTATATCATTAAAACTGAGTCTACTAAAAAGCACTCAAAGCTACTTTGCCAAAAAAAAAAAAAAGCACTCAAAGCTTTAAATCGAAGGCTTCATGGCCAGAAAGGCAGAAACCATACTACAGGTAAAGCCCACGTACCTCATTTCTACAGGCATTTTCAGACAAATATTAAGAAGATGGTCTTCTCCTCCAACTCAGACACTAACTTCAACTCTAGCAGATTACAAACATCTCAAACAAAGGAGCCTCATTACCAATCCAGCCCCGCCCTCCAAGGGCATTATAATATTTCTTAGGTCAAAATAGAGTCATGGATATATCAATTAAAGAGGCACCAGCCCAATTAGAAATCCCATACACTAAATTCCATCTACCAGTTTCAACGCAGCTCTCAAATGAAGATGCTCAGAATCTGAATTTCAGACTAGGCTATCTTTTGGCGCTTAATCAAAAGCAATCATATATTGGACGAACTGAAAAGCGAATCGAAGCATTCGTAAATCACACTAACCAATTAGCTCCTCGACATGACCGCAGCCAGCCTCTTCTCGACCGCCTACCAGTCCATCTCCTCCCTTCGTCGGGAGGGACCGCCTGAATCTCCTTTAGGGCTTTGGAGTAGAGGGAGATCGCCACTTCCCTGGCCTTGGGGAATACATCAAGACAAGCCCGACGATCCACGTCGTCTGTTTCACCTTGGCCATCAATGGCCGAACGATCGCTTGCAGGAAAATTACAAGATGGCATTAGAATTTTACCCTTGCACGTTCCAGCAGTGTGCTGCTACTCTGCCTTTGACTTGCCGGTGCTTCCTTAGGATTCAGTTGCAACTTGCAACTTTCCTACCGGCCAGTAGAATTCCTCGGGGGAGAGGACCAGGTCATTCTTCATGCTTTGGCACGAGAACATCATCCTCTGTGACCTCGCATTCATACTCATCAGGAACACCCCAGGGAACCCAACTCTGCGTTTACATTCAAAAGATGATGAAGATCAATATTGTCAGTCTCTCTTCATTTTCACGCTCATGCATTCGCAGAATGAACAACTAGTAGTTTAACGATAACCATATTAGCCAGAGTTTGAGGAAATCTTCTACTACAACAAAGTGGAGCTGCTTGTATTGCAAAGAACTGATAAGGGAAAAGCAAACTAAATGTGAAACATTTGATGATTTGATACCATCATCATGCATATGATAGGCTATTGCACGTCGAGGATGAAACAGCAAGGTTGTGCCACATCAACCAGGGAGTAGCACAAACCAACATAGACCCAGAGACAAGCAGCATTTTATATATCAAATAACCAATCAACTGAATGACTAAAGCCATAGAGTTGTTCATCTTGTTACATTGTCTCCCTAGTACATTGTACATGACATAAACCAGATAGGACTCTGGAATCAAACACAAAACAGTCACAAACTCCAATTCAGGATTGTGAAAACATGAGAGCAATCCCAAAGTCCTAAACCAAAACTTTCAATAAGCGTTAGAAATTGTTATCATCCTCAAAATAAGACTACAAGAAAGTACAATAAAAGCTTTTAATCGAAGGTTTTATGTGTAGAAAACATACTACAGACACAACCATAGTACTTCATTTCGACAGACATTTTCAGACAAATATTGGACGATGGTCTTCCCTACAACTCACACACTGACTCCTACTCTAGCAGATTACAAACATCTTGAAAAAGCAAAGGAACTTCACTAGAAATCCAACCCCGTCCTCCAAAGTTCCAAACACATTATAATCTTTAGTAGGTCATGATAAAGCCATAGATATCTCAATTTAAGAGGCACCAATTTTAAATCCAATAACTAAATTCCGTCAACCATTTTCAGCGTAGCTGTGCTGTCAAATGAAGATGCTCCGTATTATAGACTTGACTATTCTATGGTGCTTAAGCAAAGCAATCATGCATTGGCGGCAGATAAAACTCAAATGAAGCATTCAACAAAAATCTTGCTGACTGATCATTTTCTCGATGTGCTTGAGCTCGTTCCTGCCATCCTCGACCTGGCTGTATCCGATCCTCTTCTCGATTGCCTCCTGATCCTCCTCCTCATGGCAAACTTTCAGCCTGCGCCCCTCACCCCCCCCCCCCCCCCCCCCCCTCCAGTGGCCTTCTTCCAGACGGACCGCCTGAAACTCATTAAGGGATTTTGGGAGATCAACATTTCCATGGCGTTGGGGATGACCTCAAACCTCCTTGTCGCATGATCACCTTGGGCATCAATGACCGAGCGATCAATCACAGGAACAGCAGATGGTGCCTTTTCAGAGATTCAATAGCAACTTTTCTAGTTTTGAGTAGAATTCCTTCGTGAGAGAGTACCAGGTCGATGTAGGGGAACGTGCTTAGGCACTGGAGCATCATTCTCTATGACCTCACATTCATAGTCATCAGGAACATCTCATGCATCCCACTCTGCAAATGCAGTAAAAAGATAATGAAGATCATTACTGTTATCGCTCTCCATTTATTTCCATGCATTAGCAGAAAGAAAACCAGTACTATAACACTAAGCATATCAGCCGGAGTTTGATGAAATATTCTGCTGCAGCAAAATGGTGCTGCTCATGTTGCAAAGAACAGATAGGGAAAGAGAGGGGGAAAACTAAACATTTGATGATATCATACAATCATCGTGGATATTTTAGGCTATTCGCTGTCCGGGATGAAACTATGGCCTTGCATCATTACGACAAGAGAATAGCATAGACCAACATAGACCAAGAGACAGGTAGCAGGTTTATACATCAGATCACTGATTAACTGAAATGGCTTGAGCCATATAATTTTGTTCATCTCAAGTGGTTACATAATCCCGTGGTACATTGTACATGATTTAAACCAGATAGTCTCCAGAATCAAATGCAAAACGAACACAACACCAGTTCAGGATTGTGCAAACATGAGAAAAATCCCAAAGCCTACACAAACATTGAAACAACCCTTATATCATTAAATGTTGACCCCAGTTTTAGCTTGGAGCCTTAGATAGCCATCATTCTCAAACTGAGTCTACTAAAAAGCACTCAAAGCTTTAAATCGAAGGCTTCATGGCCAGAAACCATACTACAGGTAAAGCCCACGTACCTCATTTCTACAGGCATTTTCAGACAAATATTAGAAGATGATCTTCTCCTTTAACTCAGACACTAACTTCAACTCTAGCAGAATACAAACATCTCAAACAAAGGAGCCTCATTACCAATCCAACCCCGCCCTCCAAGGGCATTATAATCTTTCATAGGTCAAAATAGAGTCATGGATATCTCAATTAAAGAGGCACCAGCCCAATTAGAAATCCCATATACTAAATTCCATCTACCAGTTTCAACGCAGCTGTCTAATGAAGATGCTCAGAATTTCAGAATTCAGACTACGCTATCTTTTGGCGCTTAACCAAAAGCAATCATATATTGGCCGAACTGAAAAGCAAATCGAAGCATTCGATAAATCACACTAACCAATTAGCTCCTCGACATGACCGCAGCCAGCCTCTTCTCGATCGCCTACCAGTCCATCTCCTCCCTTCGTCGGGAGGGACCGCCTGAATCTCCTTTAGGGCTTTGGAGTAGAGGGAGATCGCCACTTCCCTGGCCTTGGGGAATACATCAAGACAAGCCCGACGATCCACGTCGTCTGTTTCACCTTGGCCATCAATGGCCGAACGATCGCTTGCAGGAACATCGCGAGATTCCGATTCCCGTACCAGTTCCAGATCAAAATGCTCCCTCGCCCGCTCCCTCTGCCCGTCTGCCGTTTAATCTCGCAGTTTCCAGTGGATTTGGTTTTAAATTTTAACGAAAACCCTCGGGGAAGTGGAAATCGTAACCATATCGCTTTCCCGCCGAACCCGACAATTACGAAATGGGCCCTGGAATTGCATGGACGTGGGCTGTTTGGTCTTGAGTAAGCCCAATATCTAAATATCTGGGCCAGGAAGACGGGATTCTTGAATTTCCTTCTGTTATGGATTGATTACTTCCGCTAGCCAAAACCAAACACAATTTGACAATCAATTTTAATGACTTTCAAGTTTTCCTTCCAAATGGATATGTTAGCTTATCTAAATTAATGAAAATTTTCATATACACCTTTTTCGCTTTGGTAAGAATATATTCATTCTATTTATTTAGCCATTAAACAATGAAGGATCATGATATGAGTGATTTCTTTGTTCCATACTAGTTGTGTGTAACCTCATTTGTACGACTCGTATAGTTAGTAAATACTCCGTTTAATATACGTTTATGTACATGTATGTATTTTATCCGTTCATAACTTACGTATGCATATTATTGTCAAGCCGTTTTATTTCTTTCCAACCATTTGAAGGATCCCGTATAAATCTCGTATAACACGTTTAATATTCATATTTAATGAATTAAATTGTTAAATTTGCTATTATTTATATATTTTAAAATAATTATTTTTTTATATTTATTAGAGGTGGCAATTCTCAATCCAATCCATGAATCCAATCCACCAACCCATTAAAAATATCCACCTAATCAAATCCATTTGATCCAAAGCCAATTGGATTGGTGGATTCATGGATTGATCCATGAATCCAAATGTCAAATTACGGTTTGATACCTATACTTTTATATTTTACATTTTGGTATCCAAAAATTAATTTTTTATACAAAAAATATCATTGGAAAATTACATTTTGGTACTTAAAATTTTTCATTACGACACTTTAGTACCTAAACTTTTCACATTTTACATATTGGTCCTTGATTGACGATGTCATTTGAATTCATGGATAATCCACCAATCCACTTGATCCAATCCATGAATCCACCAATCCATTGGATCAAATCCATTTGCCACCTCTAATATTTATTATTATTAACGTACTATTAAACGTAATATTAGTTTAGAGATGAAGTAAAATACACGTATGTATTTTATACGTAACTTTTTCATATTATATTTTACTAAGTATTGTTATGTGTACAATGTTAGACAAATACTTAAAAAAAACAATAAAATATCATCACAAGTATACACAAAATACGAGTGGTTTCCTGCCCAACATACCTTGTAATTTTATCAATTGTTAATATTGGAATTCGTGAAGATTCGAATATACGACCACTTGATCAAACCAGACTCTGATACCATATTATAAACTAATTTGTCCTAATAACTTGAGTTGTTACGAGAAGGTTTTTATTAATCTTATATCACTATCTTAGACTAACTCCAACCCATAAAGGGGAATTTAGCTCCCCAAATGGCCAAATATGGCTTTTTAGCTCCCCAAACCCACTTTTCACTCCAACCCTATAAAAAGCTAAATTTAGCTTCCCATTTCCATTTTTCAATTTATTTCAATAAACCATACTTATTTGACCTCTAATTTTTATATTTCACTTTAATTTTTTCATAACTCGTTATTAGTTTTGAATACAAATTTTTCAATGTAATTTTTTTTAAATTCCGAGATAATTTTTTTTTCAAAAATAAGTCGTTAAAATATGACCGTTTTTTATGGCCGTTAAAATATGACTGTTTTTTCGTCACTACATCAATTATTTCAAATTGAATCACAAACAACCAATGAGAATAGAGAAAAAAAATCCAAAACAAATTCCCTCACTACAAAAGTTAAAAAGAAAAAAAAAAAGTAACAGCACGTCAGCTGCGGAGAAGGGCGCCGGACGCGCGCCTGGGGCGCACGCGCGCGGAGGAAGACCGGGCGCACGCGCGCGGAGGAAGACCTTCCCCCGCGCGCGTGCGCCCCAGGCGCGCGTCCGGCGCCCTTCTCCGCATCTGACAAACAAACCCACTTTTTGGCAGCCAAATATCACTCCCCACCCCAAAACCCAGCCAAATTTCCCTTCCAAAATCCCAATACCCATTTTTTGCTTCCCATTTTTTTGTGGGTTGGAGCTTGAAAAAGAGCCAAATTTGACTTTTTAGCATTTTAGCTCCTTGGGTTGGAGCCAGCCTTACCGAATCAAATGGCGCTCAGAAGGAAGCAGCTGGCGACCCCTCCACCTTGTCCATGCGGCAGCAGAAGGCCGACAGAGAGGTGGAGAAGAGATGAGAAAGCGGTGGAGGGGGGAAGGAAAGGGCATTAACCCCCCGGAAATTCTTCCCGACGAGAGTTAAAGAGAGAACACTATTTTGATATAAAAAAAATAGGGTCTTTGACTTTTATTTTAATTGGTTTCTTATTAGTTTCATTCCCCTCAAATTTCAGAAAATTATGTAAATTATTATTTAATGACATGGCGACCATACATCAGCCACATCAACAGTACTTTTTTTTTTTAGTCATTAACAGTGAGAATGTTAACCGCTAGTATTGACGGTCAACCCAAACGTTGGGACAAATCTGTCCAATAATTTGAAAAGCAGGTCACAGCTGTCTTATGCAAAATTTCGGCTGAAAACTACACTTACGTCAAACTTCGAGTCAAACTAGGATATTAACCCTAATAATAATAACAAACAAACCTATAACGTGGGAATATTTCAACGTTTATTAAAAAAAACAGCCACATCAGCCGTTGTTATAAGAAAGTAACAGCAGTAAATAAATATATGGGCGTAGTTCATAGCCGCGTCAAATAGAGCACCAAAACTAAAACAAATTTGTACTTTTTTAAATTTTTTGAAATAACATATTTGTCAATATACGTGAGAGAGAATAAAAACGACCACAACATAATGAGTGCATTAAGATAAGATGGGAAGGTCAGAGCAAGTTGCAATTTTACACCACCACCACAACTATTGGAGTATATTGGACATCATGGGATTCTGGAGAACAACCAATGATAATGCGACGTCGCTAGCACCTCCTCTCCATGATGCTCCCATTAATTTCCTCCCACTTTTCCTAAAATGTTCAAACAAAACTATTCTTGTTCTCTTACTCCCATCAATTCTATATAAATAATAACAATAATAATAAACATGAAAATAGGTTCACAAGACTCGAGCCCAACATTTTACAATGACAACATTGTCATGATACTGTTAGTAGGGGCTTGCTATTTGGTACGGGTTTTTTGGTTTTATCCGAACCCGGACCGTATAATCCGGATCGAGATCGGACCGAGACCGGATAGTTAGGGATGGCAATTTTGACCTGACCCGTTTTACCCGACCTGTTTGACCTGTTTTGGGGCGGGTCCGACCCGCCCCGTAGGCGGGGCGGGGCGGGCATGGGTACTCTCATCGACCCGACCTGTCCTGACCCGCCCCATTCTCGACCCGTTCTTGCCTAAATTACACGTAATTTTAGTCAAATTACTTAGGATTTCTCTTTTATTACATCAAATCTTAGCTATAATAAAGACGTAAATTAGTGAAAACCTCAATTTCTCCAATAATTTAACTATATTTCTCATAATATTGTTTGTTTCCTTGGTCTTATAATAAAAACCACGAATATTTCTAATATTTTTCATATAAATTGCATACCCATTGGGTCGACCTGCCCCGACCCGTGACCCGTGATAAATTACCCGACCTGGACCCGACCTGCCACGGGGCGGGTCTGGGTACCAAGAAACCCGCCCCGGACCTGCCCCATTGCCATTCCTACGGATAGTAAACAATCCAATCTAATCTTTGGGCTTAGATTTGAGGTAAAAAAACCGTTCGGGATCGGATCAAAAACTGGATAAAGACCGGATAAGAGAGCTCAACACCCAAAGTTTAAGGGTAATTTGCATAAACGGTCACAAAACTTTGCACTTAGTACATAACTTAACCAAGTCCTCACCCTTTGAGGCCTTAAGCCACTCAAATCCCCACAAGCTCAATATAAAATTAATACCAAATTGGGACCGGACCGGATCAAGACCGAACTGTATCCAATCCAATCTTTGATCCTTATATTTTCAAAAAGACCGGACTGAACCTGATCAATTTGGGCCAATTTAACCGGACCGGACCGTATAGCCACCCCTAACTGTTAGACCATAAAGGCATAAACCTTTTGAGTATTGACAAGTTTAAAATGCGAGTCGTCATGATTAATGGGCAACACAAATGCTCTAAAACACGGCCAAACAACAACACAGTCATAGTCGTTAAACGGCTAATTTTATACGACCAACATTCAAACCCCCTTTCAGTTACACTTATACTGCGTAAATTTTACATGACATTTTCTCAGAGATAGTATTGATCTCAAGTTGCATACGTAATGGATGAAATTGTTACATATACTTTATTGCAGATAAGCCAACATCATCACAAATGACGTTTGCTAAATGCACTACAGAATTAAAGAATAAAAATTATACGACTGATCTGTTACCCATAAGTATTTTTCCTAATACACGTTACCACTTGGATTTGGCAGATCAGACAAAAGACAAAAAGAAGATAAGAAGAAGAGTCAATGAAATACAATGTATACCTGAATGTTTGACCGAGTCATCTTGGAAAAGGAATATAGATAAATATTTGACCGTGGCAATGGAAGCTGCGCGGCGCTGGTAGTTAGCCTCCCTACAAAGACAAAACTGGGAATCTCTCTCGTGAGAAGTCAAAGGCCTAACCTCAGCCAAGGATGTGGAGAGTCCTCAGAGTCGGTATCACGGTTTGCACTTGACTTATCCAGTTGCTTTCTCTAACAGTATAAAAAAAGAGGACTCCTTTGTATCCTAGCCCTAGGGCTGGACAATCCGTTAGCGGATCAGCGCGGTTAACAAACCGGTTACAATCGAAACAGGTTGGTAATTATTCACTAACCGATAATTAAAACTCGGTTGATGTTCGGAGGTTGGGTGAGATGGTTTGGTATTGGTGGTTGTTCGGTTAACCGAAGGCTTAATTAAGCCCTCTTTTCGGCCGGTGGTTGGTAGGGTTGGGAGGTGGTTTGGTTGACCGCGATAACCGGCCATTTTGTTATTGTTTATAACCGAACCGACCGGCCCTCCACCCCCTACTAGCCCCGCATATTTGGTGTTTAAATCAACTAATATTATCGAGAGTTATTTTAGGTTCGTATTTAACGAGTGAGTAGTGTTATAATTAAAGAGTTTGATTTATCACATTTTTATAGAAAAATATAATAACGACGATATATCAATGATGTGAATCATGTGCTTATTCGATCACTCTCTCTTTCTCCCCTCTAAACCCTGAAATTCTTCACTTCCATTTTAGGGTAATTATTTAGCCGTACTGATTATAACTTATTAATCATTGCGTAGTAAAGCACGCGGAAAAATGAGAGATCGATTTAAAAATGTTTTTCTCTTTATCGAGTACCAACCCAAGTTAATGTTCATAACTCGATATGCTAGAATGTAAATACAAGATATCTCGATCAATCGAGACGTTGATACCGTAACAAGAAACTCATTTCTTTGAAAATCTATATCCCAAACATTAGTCTGTTAATGTATCCTTCCATTACAGCTAGTTGGAATTCCCACCGGGCCACATAGGATACTGAATTGGAAGGTCATGAACAGGACATTCCACTCAAAGCTTCGAATAAACGCGCTAAAACGCAGAAACCCTAAATTGCCCACAAAGAAAGAACAGTGTGTGTGGACGAGAAACAATTTCTTAGAGCCAACCTCCGAAAGGACGAGACGCATAATTAGAGAGGCTGCACCCATTAAGGTTATTTCAATTCCCTTTTCATTCCCCACCTCTTTGATTGCTTTCATGTGACAGTGTACTGTTCTCAATTATTTCTGGTGGTAAATGAGCAAATGAGAGGTCTCTCTTGTTCATTGGGAACAAAGAAAGCTTTATGATGATATTAGGGAAAATGCCACATTTAGTTACTTTGGTTACTGAGATTACTAAATCGTGTCATTTTTAGTCACTAGAAAAATTTAATATCAATTTTGGTCACTCGAATTACTGAAACTGGTCACATTTAGTCACTCTCCCATTAGTTTGGAGTTGGACGGAAACTAACGGGAGAGTGGCAAATGTGACATGTTTTAGTAATTCGAGTGACTAAATGTGAGATGTTTCAATAATTCGAGTGACCAGAGTTGGTCAGAGGTTACAGGAGAGTGACCAAATGCGACCTGTTTCAGTAATTCGAGTGATCAAAATTGATATTAAAATTTTCTAGTGACTAAACATGACACGATTTAGTAATCTCAGTGACCAAATGTGGCATTTACCAAAAAAATTGTAAAATCATTTTGGTAGTGGTAAAAATTGGAAGACCATAGTATTATCAATTTTCCGTGATTTCATAATTCAATATATATGGTGTTACTCAAAGAAAAGTTTGTAAAAATTCTCGTTATTTTTAGGCAAAATACATCTGTGTAACCAAAAATTTCGTGTTTGTAATAAGAATAGCCACTTTTTGAGAAATACATAGAATAGTCATAATTTTGAAAGTTTCATGACAAATTTAGTCATTTCCGTTACAAAATTTAACGATGTTAGAGACTCCCTAAGTGAGATTAATGTTAGGTTGACTAGAATGTCAAATCATTGCACACGTCAGCGACAAGTCATCATATCATTGTCACGTCATTTTGATTTATAAAAAAAATTAATTATAAATTTGTTAAATATGTTTGATAATAAATTATTAATAAATCTATTTTATAATAATATAATGTACTTACTTTTCACTCAATTTTACCCGTATTTTTTTCATTCCAAATAATAATTTATCTCTTCACTTACACTCACACCAATTTACATCCACTACATTTCCCCCCTAAACTTACACACCTCAAATTTACACTTTTTTGTTGCCAAACATATTGACAGAGACACAAATTAAACACCATCGTGTTCAACCATCTTTATTCTTTCCCACAACACATTGTTTCGTTTACATTACAGAGATTTCCCATCAATTTCTTTTTGACATGGTTATAGGATTCAAATCAATCTTATCAAGATTTTGCGATAACCATCATTTGAGATTTTGAGTGCCATCATTTACTTTTTGCCCTTTTTCTGTACAATGAATGTCATAATTTGATAGTAAGTGCAAGGTCTTTTACTAATCTTCTCTTTCTCACCTCAACTTCAATGACTTTGTTCTCTGTTTTCTTTCGATTAAATTCAATGGCTCCATTTTAACATCCATTTGGCCATTTCAGCATTTGCTAAATCCGTATATTAACATGGAAAATGCAAAATGGTGTAGAACGTCTAAAGAGTTGGTACTTTTAGAGTCTGCAACCATGTGTTGTTGGATATTACCCAGTTGACATTTTTATAAATAACCTCATTGTGTTTCATAAATCAACTAGCCACAATAACTCGAATTGTTGGAACAGGATAATATATGTTATTTAATCACTTACTTACACGCCTTCTTAAATGAAAGCTAACTCATAGGCTTGAAGTTTGCTCAGGCCTGCCATACCATGTGCTTGAAATGCAACGGTTAATATTTCAGGCAGTGAGGACTTCAACACGTGACCTCAAGGAGAAACCAGCTCCGATACCATGTCATAAACCAACTGGTCCAAATAACTTTAATTGTTGGGGAGATGATCATGTATATGGTACTTAACCACTTCCTTACATTGTGTATATTCAATGATCGACATCACGAAACATGCAATTCAATAGTATCAGTTTGTATTGATTGATAGATGAAGGTTATCCATCACATATTTCAACATTCTAAATCTGTATAACATGCAATATAAAAGTGTCGACGTTAATACGAACTAGGTAATTTCAGATTGTGCAACTATGTGATAGAGAATATACTCGTCGACATTTTCTCAAATAACCGAAATAAAAAGACATGCAATTCGGCAGTATCAACCTGCCCCGGCTTCTACATCCACCAAGAGAATTTCTATATATGAAGAATCCATGTAACCACTAATTTTCCTACTATTGGGAAGTTTTAGTCCATGTAAACACTCTCCCTGATTTTTCCTGTAAAATGAAAGGCACCACGTCACTCCCCGTCACCCGTTTTAATCGGAGCACCATCCATTCTACATTCCTCCTCAAAGTTACTAAAATGATGACTGGACCCTAATTCACATATATTGCTCCAAAACAAAAGATCAAACGCCAAAAGGAAAGTTTTGAAAAGACCCAAAAAAAAATATATATGGGTGGATGGGTAAAGATTCTCTCTCGCCCTTTCTAATCTCTGCTTCCTTCTCAATCTACCAATGTGGCCACCAAACAGCAAAAAAGAAGATAAATAAAATTATGCTTTTATATTACATCTAATAAGTTCTTCCTCGTTTCTACCCTACAAATTAAAGAAAGAAAACAACAGAATTATATATATATATATATATATATTTATAGATATACATAATTATTACATGATAGTTAATATTCACTTACCTATCCGCCGCCGCCGGCAGAGGTACTACCGTAGATCCAAGAAGAGAAGTTATCCCCAAACGCCGCGCCATCACCACCACCACCGCCGAGCTCTTTCCAGCCCTTCATGAAGATATCCTCATCCACGTTGCTGTTATTATTCGGAATCAAAATGCTGTCGTCATCGTCGTCGTCATCATCGTCGCAGATATTGTCAAAATCGTCCACGTTCGCATCATCCTCACCGCTCTCGAATTCCGGCAGGCCGTCCACGTCATCGATGTCCGCGTTCGTCGGCATCATTTCCGCAACCGCCGCGTTTTTGTTGTTGTCGTGGTCCATCGTCGCCGAGAGCGGAGTGGTCGGGGAAAGACTCACCGCCGCCGCCGTGGCTTTCTCCTTGGTGGTCGGGGGCGGTGCGGGCTGTGCCGCCGCCTCGGACTCCTTCCCCTCCGCCGCACCCGCCTTCGCCGCCGGGAACTTCGTCCTCGTGCTGCCGGCGAGCGAGTTCCGGTGTGTGGGCTTGGGATGGGTGTGGTCGCCGGCGTAGCTGACGATGAACATGTTCGGATCCGTCGTGCTCTTCTCCACTTGCTTCCTCGCCGCGCAACCTTTTGAGCTGCTGCATCTGTAGTAGTTCCTGCCAAAAAGAAAATTTTAAAAATAATCACACTTAATTAACTCCCCGGAGTTAAATTCTCTACCTAAAAGCTCCCCCAACTTATTTTCTTCTATTAAAAAAAAAAAGTTTAGCGGAAAACACTAACCTTGGGTACGGGGAGCCCTTGATGGGCTTTTGCCCATACTTCCGCCAGGCCCAAACATCGTTCGACAGATTATCCGCCGTCACCTGGACAACCAGCCGCTTCTGGTTGTTCTTTCTGCACCAAACGGAGAGGAAAACGTTAATTTTTAGGACAGTCTAATTAACCCCTTTTTTTTTTTTTTTACTGCGGGGTAAGTAAATTTCAAATTTAACCTGAGGCTCACTTTTTCCTTGACCTGCCTGCGGGCTGCTGCGACGGCAAGGTCGCCGCCGTCCTCAACGCGGGATGGACTACAACGGAAGAAGGAGGGCCCAGGGTAATAATGGTGCTCTGCTGCCGTTGATTTCGATGACGACCGCCAAGATCCTGCGGCTGGCGTGGCTGCTGCTGCTGCTGGTGGGTCTTCGGATTGACTACCCGCGGGCTCACGGTTGATGCGGTGGTCCGCGGTTGACTCGGAGCTCCGAAATTGGAATTCGAAGTATTGTTGGGAGGAGGAGGGATGAGAACGCTCCGTTGACCGGCGGCGGCGGGAGGGGACAAGAACGGCTTGTACGAATCTTGAAGCAAATCAGGGAAGTTGTTGTAGCTGTAGCTTTTGTCTTCGGGTTGCACCGTTAGATCCGGGAAGGCGAACGGGTCGGGTTCGTCGTCGAAAGTCAACCCGGAGAGCGGGTTATTCTCGCGATGGAGATTGTTGCTGTTTGAGCAGGAGGCGGCGGAGTTGTCGGGCTGCGCCGCCGCGGCGGAGCTGCAGCTCCTGACGATCGCGTTGAGATCCCAGTCGTCGGCCATCGACGGAGGAGAGGAGAGGAGAAAGAGGCGGCGCTGACTTTTTTCTGGAGATTGGGAAGGAGACAGGAGAGAAGGGGAAGAAAAGAGTAAAGCAATAAAAAGAAATATATAAAAAAATGGAAAGAAGAGAGAGAGAGAGAGAGAGTTAGGAAAGGATCAAAAGAATGAGAGATGGTGGTGGTGGTGGAGCACTGACTTCTGGAAGAGAGGGAGGGGGTTGAAATGCTATTATTCGATTTATTTATACCGACAAAAGATAGAAAATTATATAGACAGGAAAAAGTCAATTAGGTCCACGGTTTTATATTGTTTGAAAGTTTAGGTTCCTGAACTTTCTTGATGGTGAATCTGATGAGTGATTTTGAGTGGTATGAGCATCGTTTCTTGGTGTTCACCAAGCCAATATGCTCCCTCCATTGGTGTTTCTTTGACCCCTTGTTCACTGTTCAAAGATGAGTGGTACGAGAATCACTGTTCGGAGAATATTCAAATTGTAAAATCACAAATATTATAGAGCAAAACTAGAATCAACACACCTCTCTATTTGGAGTAGGTTGAACGAAAAAGAATCATAAGCATTACGCACGGCTTCATGAAAGCAACCATTGAAAGTGTGAGTTGCATGATCGTTTTGTTAGTGAAGAAGCGATTGGGAGGGTGAATATGGTGTTCTTTCACAATTCGTGTGTAAAATATTCCAATTTTTTACAGAAATCCATGTGTCATCATGATGGTGGTTTAACGATCAATGTAAACACTTACGAACTTACGGACTTAAGTGTAAATCCATCCACATGAGGGGTTTTGATAAATTCATCTGCACCAAATGTACGGATTGAAGTGTTTAATACTTACAATGGTGTTTAAACACCAAGGTTGTCAGCCCGGTTTAGCCCGTTGGTCTGATCGAGCAAGTTGGTCGAGGGTTAATGATCCGATCGCTTTAGTTCGGTTTAGCCCGCACTATATTGTTGATGCATTTATAAATTATATCAAAATCTCATATAATATGTGAGTAATAACATATAACATTACACTAAAATAACATGTCGTACTTGGATCGAACATATAGTGAAAATTCACACACACTTATATATCATCAATATGCATATGTTCAATTTTAGAATTCCAAAGATAGGGTTATGCGAAGATAAAAATAAAAAATAGGCACATTTCGCAAACCAAAGAGAAAATGACATTGTGTGACCCCAACCCTGTAATCCTTAAACAGATACTCATTTTTCTCACCGGATTAAAATGGAGAAATCAGCGGGTCGAGCTGCAGGTTAACAATCTTGTGAAACACTCCACGAACCATTTAACCTCCAGCCGTTGTTGATGTTCTAAGGACTTGTGTGAATGAATAAGAATAGATTCGGTACCGGATTGACCTTTGCGAAAAGAAATCGTATCGAAGAAGCGAGAAAACAAGAAAGGAGAGATGCTTTTTCTTTGACTTTGGGCGAAATGTCAAAATGGGGCCCAAAACAGCGATGGTATAAATATTCGCGCGGGGAGTGCTGTACACTGGTGTGGTGTCTTCTGTGCCTCCCAAACTTCCCACACACGGCCTAACAAAAAAAGATGTGGGGGATAAATCTCACGCGCCTGCGGAGTTCGTGGGGATCACTCGGCCGACGTGCGCCATTACGCATTTGGCAATCGGGAGTTGTGGGATCTCCCGGTTTCGAAAGGCCCGGAGCGAGAGTGGGGGACGGGATTAAATATTGTTAACTTATTAACTAGTTATGGGCCCATCCCCCGGCCCGTTTATTACTGGATCCACTCGAACAAGGTGCTGATGCTCCACTACCGCACTTCGGGATGTTGTGCTGGGTGTAAAGTGTAAACACAATTGGGGTGATAAGTGAAGTAATGGTAAAAATATTATTCGTGTAGTAAATTGTGTTGTTCAGTTTATGTATAGGGTGAAACTGGTCGAGTTACTTCAGGTTGTGAGCATTTTGTTAGTGTTGGCTTTAGTTCGTTGGGGTGTGATTGAAAGCTTTGTACGGGCGGTTGCAAATAACGAGTTGATCTAGTAATTTTGTCGTTGGTGTTCAATTTGAAATATGTTGGTTCTAATTTAGTAAGTCACAACTAATAATAAAAAATAAACTGATATCACCCTCGTATTGATGCAATTAGGTTAATGTTTCATGTGCTTTAACATGTTATTATCTCTTTTTGTACTCGTAACAAAGGGAATTTAGAGATTGGGAATCCTACTAACCATAATAATAATTATCGGGTAAATGCCACATTTGATCACTGAGATTACTAAATTGTGTCATGTTTAGTCAATAGAAAAATTTAATATCAATTTTGGTCACTCGAATTACTTAAACAAGTCACATTTAGTCACTCTCTCGTTAGTTTCTGTCCATCTTCATTAATGGAGTTGTACGAAAACTAACAGGAGAACGACTAAATATGACATGTTTTAGTAATTCGAGTGACTAAATGTGACATGTTTCAATAATTCGAGTGACCGGAGTTGGTCGAAGGCTAACGAGAGAGTAGGGTTATTAATGAGCTGAGCTATTCGTGAGCGGCTCGATCTTGAACTCGATAAAAGCTCGTTCGATTAAAAAAAAGCTCGGCTCGTTAATAAACGAGTCGAGCTTGAGCTCTACCTTGTTCGGCTCGTGAAGCTCGTGAACTAGCTCGATTAGGTGGCTCATTTAATACAACTCATGAACTGTCTCGTTTTGATCTTATGAAATGTCCCAACATTGTGACTAGAGAGTTAACTCAACTACAACTCATGGGAAAATCAATCTATATTTTATGAGTTGGTTTGTTAATGATGCATATAATTATTAAATTGTAAATATCACCTCATATGGTGTTTAATACATTGAGTATATGTAAGCAAATACGTCTCATATATGACATAACATTAGGTAATCACTTGTATCACATATGACATATAAATATTAGGGTGTTTATATTATTATAAATTATCTTATAGTTGTGCTCGAGCCGAACTTTCGATCTTAATGATGTGTCAAGATTTAATAAATGAGCTGGCTCGTGTTCGACGACTCGACTCGTTTATAAACGAGTCGGGCTCGAGCTCGGCTCGTTTATAAACGAGCCGAACATGAACAAGGCAAAGCTCGACTCGGCTCGGCTCATTAATAGCCCTACGGGAGAGTGACTAAATGTGACATGTTTCGGTAATTCAAGTGACCAAAATTGATATTAAATATTTTCAGTGACTAAACATGACACGATTTAGTAGTCTCAGTGACCAAATGTGGCATTTACCCAATAATTATACTACTAAAATACTTTCGGTCTGGATTTATAAAATTATTAAATGTTGACCGGGCCAACCTTGGCCAACCCGGTAAGGTTAAATTTAGGCCCGGCCCCGTACCAACGCGTACGCTCCATTATGTGGGGCGTGGGAACCACGTCCGAGAGGAAACAACCAAACTTGCTGAAACATACGTGTCCACAAATCACTGCCACCGTCAGAGATACCCGCGAAATACGTGGGCGAGAGGCGGAGGTGACGACGATATCTAACTGGGCCGCGTTGTGGGCCTTTTGTCGGTGGATCAGTGAACTCTTAATTTGTTGGTCCCTCGTAGTTTAAACTATCTTTGATTCTTTCCTAACTTTGCCGGTCCTAGGCTAGATCTATATATTAAATTCCCATGAATGAACCAGATCAACAAATATAACGAGGATTATATTTAGGGTGTGCTTACGGTGACATGCATGTCACGGTGACTTGCAATTTCCGGTCGACCTCAGCTAGGATTAGGTCGACCTCATTTAGAATTCGGTCGACCTCATATAGGATCCGGTCGACCTAATCTGTTGTTTCAGTGTAAAAACAGTTCACGGTGCTTACTTTGGATATTCATATCATACAATTGGCTAGATGGAAATTGAAGACTAATGACTTGTTTTGAAGCTGGAGTGTCCCTCTACATATTGAAGTGATTGATAGCTCGATAGGAAGTCCAGAAGACCATTTTTGAACCTCATCAAAAGGCTATGCCAAAACTGGGAAACTGCCTAGAAATGGCTAAGTCTGGAAACGTGATTGTGAAGTCTATTTTTGAGCTCAATTCGAGAAGCATGAATGCGAGTCGAGTCCAGGAGCCTCTACCACGTTAAATTAGGTATGTTGTTATACAAATTCAAGGAATTGGATGAAAGAATGGATATCTTTAAGGCTTCAAACAAAAGGGTCGAAGTTGCTACGAAGGCTGTTTTTCTGGCAGACTTTGAGCACAAGCAAGCTGCCAGAAAAACAGCCTTCGTAGCAACTTCGAGCCTTTTGTTTGAAGCCTTAAAGATATTGAATCTTTCATCCAATGCCTTGCCTTTGTATAAATATATACGTAATTTAACGTGGTAGAGGCCCCTGGACTTGACTCGCATCCATGATTCTCAAAATGAGCTCCAAAGTAGGCTTGACAAACACGTTGCTAGACTTAGCCATTTTCAGGTAGTTTCCCAATTTTGGCATAGCCTTTTGGTCAGATTCAAAAAAGGTCTTCTGGACTTTCTATTGAGCTCCCAAGTACTTTAATGTGTAGATGGACACTTCAGCTTCAAAACAAGCCTTTAATCTCCAATTTCCATCTAGCCAATTGTAAGATATGAATCTCCAAAGTAGGCACCATGAAACTGTTTTTACACTGAAACAACTTATTAGGTCGACCTGATCCTATATGAGGTCGACCTAAAAGTGCATGTCACCGTGACATGCATGTCACCGTAGCAAAGTCCTTATATTTATATATTTCATTTCTTCCGAAAGTAACATAGTAACGACTAATAAAAGCCAAAAAGAAAGCCGGGGTAATCAATTATATGAAAACCTAACACTCGTACACAGTGGCGTAGCTAGGATTTAGTTTAAGGTGGGTCCACCTCGAAAAAAATAAATATGATGAAATAATTTTTTTTTGAATATAATCTTACGTTGAAATTTTTGATAAATTAAAATGCATTAGCAATCGAAAATATCAAGAATATCACTCTGCATATATACCAAACAATCATTGATTTAGTTAGTCGTAGTGTTTCAAATAGTGTTCTTTGTTAAGAACCGTTAGTGTCAATACCTCGAGTTGTTGATAGAGGTTTAATAATAAATCTTATACCAACCAATAATTCATGATTTACCTGGTCGTTCGCTTTCGAATGATCTTAAAAAAATATTTAGTATCAATAAACCGAGTTGTTGGAAGATTTCAATAATATATTATACCATTTACTACCATGCTCCCTTATAAGAAAGTCAACTTATACGAAATTGATGTTTGCACAAATCTGTATACCGTATGCTTAATAAATGAGGTCACCAAGATTCAAACATAAAACTTTTCGACCAACTATTCTCAACTAAACGCGAGCTAATTTTCGTTATCAATTAACTATCGTATCTAATTTAACCATTTTGCCCCGAACCAGGGTGGGTCCCAGAGCCCAACCTGTTAGCCTCTCCCTCCGCCACATGCTAGTGCACAATTCCAATTAGTTGATCTATCACAAAATCCTGTCTTCATTATAATCATAGATAACGAAGCAACTTTTTTTTTTTTTTATGAATGTGAGTTCATTCGATGAATGGAGAAAGCTACTATGAAGGAAAGGGTAATATTGTGCGATAAATTAAAGATATGTATACAATCTGCCTACAAAAGTCATCTTATTAAAACGAATTTCAGTTTCATTATTAAAAAATCAATGGGATGAGTCATTCCATCGTTTTTTCAAGTATTGGTATTTCGAAATACAAATTGAACTTATATCATAACGTTAAATATATAAGTTAAGTTTGTATCATGAGAAAACTCGTACATTTATCTTAGGGTTAGTTGCAAGGTTGGTCACTGAGATTACAAAAAAACGTTCATGTTTGGTCACTGAAAATATTTAAATCCAATTTTAGTCACTAAGTTTACTAAAACATGTCATGTTTGGTCACTCTCCGTTAGCTTCCGTCAACGATTTTAGTTTTTTGTTTACGTGGCTAACAGAATCATCCAATCAGCCTATTTTAACCCAAAAAACTTTATACCCGACCAGCCACATCATCAAAATTCCAATCCAGCTCATTAACCAACCCAAATTAAACCTATACACAACCTGTATTCTGATTCTGGCCGCCTCCACCCTCTCTCTTTCCGCTCCGCCTGTCCCTCTCTCCACTATGCATCTCTCTCTCCTCTATTCCCAACCAATCTATGATTATGACGAAACAGGCAATGATGAATGACGAAGGCAGGACAGGGCAGATCTGGATCTCGCTGTCGACCGGCAAGGATGAGGAAGACTGTCGACCCATCACATCCTTCATCCTCTACTCCACCTCCCCGAATGCAGGTCGTTTAGGTCCAAACCCCAGGTCGTTTAGGTCGGTCCTAATTCAGAGTGGATCCGACATCCTCGTCCCCGAATCCGACCCTACCACAGGGAGCATCAGCTGGCAAAGATCGACTTATGGTGAGGAAAAAATTTGGAGCTCCAGATCTAATTAGTCTGAATCTCATTTTCTTCTCCTCTTTCCATCTGTTCACTCTCCAATAGCGCGTCGCTCGCACTATCTTTCGCTATGGTTCTTCGATTTGATACAGCGTGGAGTGTGGGCTGCCGCCGCTGCTACTTGGTTGGCGAGGAA